TGGTGTCTGTGTCTTCTTGGGCAAGTGGACAGGATGCAGAAGGAACCGTTTCCATCGTTATCACCTGCCGCTGCAATGGTACTCCGGGCTCGCTTATCGAGATGCAGCCGTGGAGATCGCAAGGTTGTTACTGGAGACGGCCACCTGTGTCAGCACACAGGTGATGCTCCAGTCTATGCTTTGTGAGGGCAAAAGGAGACATACGTGGTTCTCTTCCTCCCCATTTCATCCTCAGAAGAAGCCTATGAGGTAGGCGAAGCAGAACCTTGCAAGAACCATCTGAGAGTTGCTGACCGGTCAAAGGCCACTCGGGGAGCGTCACGCTGAGTGGGGATTTGAACTCAAGTCCTAGGCTCACCCTCTAACCATTATACCACACTGCCTCTCTACTGGAATGACGCTGTTTCTTTGTGAGCCAGAGGCAGTAACTTATTTTACATCAGATATGCCCATTTTTATTCTATCTTCCTGCCCCAATCCAGGCTCTCATATGTAGGTTTTGGCAAACAAATGCAAAAGCAGGCAAGCACAATGGGATAGGCTGGTGGCTTTCCTTTGCAACAAGTTTTCCTGACATTGGGAATGCATCAAATCAGCACTGAGGAATCTTTTTTCTGTTAAGGGTCGCAGTCCCTTGAGGGTCCCTCAAAAGGTGGTGGACTCTCCTTCATTGGAGATTTTTAAACAGATGGCCACCTGTCAGGGATTATTGAGCTGGGCAATAGGACTGTGGTGGAGGGCACTCTGAGTTCCTGAAGAGGCAGTTCTGGAATAGGTGGATTAATGACTTGATTCAATTCATACAAATACAGGAGAGGGAGAGAATGATTTTGATATTGGCAGAAGCTTTCTGCTCTCTTTGCACTCGTCTCCAAATTCCAAGCCACCCCTCTGCTGCTAAACACATTTAGTTGTGCAACCAATCCCAACCCAATTTTGACTTATATTTGCCTATTTAACTATTTGTACGCTGCCAAATATTGACTTGAAAATCACCATGGTGGATTAACGACAAGATGGATCGCAGCAAGGGTGACCCAAGGAAAAAGCCTGCCTTGGCCTTATTGACTTAAGACTAATTTTAGACTAATTATTGACCCCAGACTAATATGGAAGGAGCAAGGCATCATCACTTTGTTAGTGATAATATTAAGGTGCACAGATCTCCATGCCCAGAAATGCAGAACAGTAAGTGAAGGGTGAAAGGATAACTTCAGTCACAAGAGAATGTTTTGCTAACAGTAGCCCAGGCAAAGGAGCTGACCTCCACAGAGAGACTGAGCTAAGAAAGCTTGTGGGGGCTGCATCAAGACTATATTTATCCAACCGAAAGGCAACAGAGCAGACACTCCTTCCAGCTGGCGAGAAGAAAAAAGGAAGCCACAAGATATTTGGTGCATTGTCGTCATGTTTAATCCAGGATTTAGTTCATAGCCAACCAGATTCTTTGGCCATCAAAATTCAGTTCTAACGCCATGCATTCCTCCACAAATACAAATGTGCCGTTTTGCAAACCTACCTTTCTACAGTGCAGCCGGCGAGAATCCGGACGTTATTGCTTAGGTGCATGGGATCCCAGGTAGGGAACTGCGTGTGCTACGGGGACTCTGTACAACAAGGGTATCAAGAAAGTGTGTGTGTGTGTTCATGACCGGCCTCTCAGTCTACACAAGTTGGAGAGATGGTGGCGGGATAAAATGCTTTGATTTAGCATTAGCTTGAAGCCACGGTCCTGTAGCTGCAGCAAACTGGCCACATCCAAGCAGAAAGAGGCATGACAACTTAGGAGCCCCAGCAGTAAGCAGCTACACAAAATTCCTGGCAAAGTAGGCGCTTCCCATGTTCTCACAAGTTTCCATATCACTTTATCACATCTATTTATAGGTGACTGAACATATTTTGTTAAAAGTATCTGGTCATTTGCTTGCCCCATTCTTGGCAGTTTAGGTTGCAACCCCACAATACACACTTTCCTGGGAGTAAGCCCCGTTGAATTCAGTGGGGTTTACATCTGAGTAGAGATGCATAGGACTGCACTGCAGGTAACATCAAGCAGGAATCCTTAAAACATTTTTACAAGGAAAAAACCCCAATGCTGTCATTTGCCGACAGTGCAAGAAACAAACACCATGTCCTTCAATACACTTGAGTGTCTTCCATTTGATGCTAAAGACTCTGAATACACCTTTGGTGAGCCATACCAAGTCCACTAGAGTCAGCTTAGCAGCTGATATAAGAGACATTGTAGTGTTGAGGGTGGGGGAGAGAGGCTGTGTTATTGGAGCCAACGTCCCATTATGTAAGGAAAAGTAAACAGAGATTATTATTATTAAATCCTATGAAGTCTCTCATCCATGCTTGGTATACTGGGCTGGATCCAAAACAGTTAGTCACACTTTAGTTTCATTGGGTTTCAATGAGGCTAAAGTTAGCCTCCATGACTAACTTGTTCCACTGATTTCAACTGGATTAAAGCACAGCTACCCTAGGGCTCGTTCACATTTCCACTTTTCCTGTGCCTAGAAAGCACTGGTCTAAGCCATGGGTGTGATCAAGTAAATAATAATAATTAAAAAACATGACCAAATGCATCACAGAGAACTCAATATTGCCTCCTTGACATAAAGCCAGCCCCCCAGCCCCTAAAATAAACCCTGGCTTCACCCTTAGTCCAAGCAGTTTTCCATTTGCCTTGCTGCTTTCCCCAGGAAAACCTACTCTGTACAGATTCAATCCATGGAAAAACTGATTGACATTTGCTCCGATTCAGCAGTAAAGAGCAGGTTTTCCCAGGGGAGAATCAGTAGGACAAGCAGAAGTGTGGAGGTGCCCTTGGTTGGGATCCAAACTCACTGCTCGCAAGGCTGCAGATGTTGGGTATTTGGGGTATGGCAAGCTGGATGATGAGCCCAACAATCCCACCTGCAAACAATGAATATACCCTCTCAGACGGATTGAATGTACCGTGGAGTATATGCTGTGCATCTCAAGAATATGCGTGTCCTCCTGGCTGAATGCCCAGGAACCAGCATGTGCTGAATGAGGCCTGAGATATCCCTAAGCCATGAGGAAAGGAAGGAAGCCATTAGGAAACAAGCAGCACTGTGCTGTGGAAAGTTCAGCACAAGGTAAATTTGTATTTGTATTTTTGTGAGTGCGTGTGTGTGTGTATGTACGTGCAAAAAAAGACCATGGAAAACAACTCCCCACCTCAAGAAAACCCCTCGCATTTGAAATCACTTTACATTGTTTTTCAAAAAGAATTTGTTTTGGTCTATCCCAGCATTCTCCCATTATAGTCTGGAAACTTGGTGGTGGGTTCAGCCTTCTGAAAAAGCAAGAGAAACCTGCTTGATCTGGCTTATGTGAGCTATTCTCTGATTTACATCCTATGCCCTTTTAAAATGTGTTTTTGTGGGGTGGGGGAGCTATTGGGTTGTTTTTATTATATATTTTGTGGTTTTATATCTTGATTTTATTCTGTGAACTGTCCTGAGACCCCCCCAGGTATAATAATAATAATATTCTCAATACAGTAAGCCCACAATTTACATTCCAAGGATTGCACCTCAAGTCAAAATTGCATATACTCAAAACACATTAGGTGCAATGGCTGGTGGAATTGCCAAAGATTTCCCCTACCCTGGATGCGCGCATATATATATATATATATATATATATATATATATATATATAATATAATGCAAAAAGCTGAATGTACACAAGTTTAAAGTGCGCAAGTTGTGGGCTTACTGTACATTACCAGGGCAATGTATCCACAGACCTGCCAAATAAGGTACTTGGAAAATAAGACTGATGCAACATTCCCGTTTCTGTATTTAAGGGACTACTTCTATAAGTGAGCCAGTACACTGAAAATGTTACACTGGAAGACGCCCTGGTTGTGGTTTAGTGCCCTGGAATTATCAGTTCAATCCTGCTGTGCTCCTACTGCTCCAGAGCAGATTCCACCAGAATTTGAAAAGGTTCTTAACCCCATGTTCTCTTTTTCTAGCCCTGCAAGCAATCACAGCACAATGGTAAAAAAATATACGAAATTAGAGGCTTGCTTGTTCAGACATGTATAAACATTGTTTGATTTCACTAGGCTCCTGGTGATTGAACTGACTTTGCTGAAGGGCGATACTGAAATTATGTCTGTGGACTTTGATCTGTGGCGGCTAATTCACATTTCAAAGGAGGTTTCAGGATAGTGCGACTGGTTTGGCTGCACTGGGTGCCTTCACCATTGAATGGAGAATGAGAGGCACACGTGGGAATTTTAGTGTAGCACAGGGCACTGCTGAAATTTGAGAGCCCAAAGTCTGCCAGTGCACAGTTGCAAACCATCACTTGGTGTTGCAGAAATCCTGCAATGAGCATTGCATGTACGAATCAAAGCCAAAATTGTGGCTTCTTTCCTCAGCAGCTCTTTAAAGAGGATATGGTGCAGAAATTCAAATGCAGGTGGAAAGGTTCTCTGAGCAAACCCACTAAAAAACAACTTTACATATGCCTGAAAGGAATAGTGGGAAATCCCATCAGACAGAGTACCCTGGCTTCAAACACATGTCTGAAAGTCGTATTGGACTTCTGAAAGGGCAATGTTTTGGTGTATGTAAAGTAAAATAGTAAAGGACCCCTGGACGGTTAAGTCCAGTCAAAGGCAACTATGGGGTGCAGTGCTCATCTTGCTTCAGGCCAAGGGAACCGGCGTTTGTCCAAAGACAGCTTTCTGGGTCATGTGGCCAGCATGACTAAACAGCTTCTGGCGCAATGGAACACCTTGACGGAAGCCAGAGTGCACGGAAACACTTTTTATGTTCCTGCTACAGCGGTAACTATTTATCTGCTTGCACTGGCATGCTTTTGAACTGCTAGGTTGGCAGAAGCTGGGATAGAGCAGTGGGAGCTCGCCCCATCATGCGGATTCGAACTGCCGACCTTCCGATTGGCAAGACCAAGAGGCTCAGTCTGCCATACATTCCCTGCGTATGTGGCAGGGAATGTATGACAACAGGAGGAAATGATGAACTGTTCCTGCTGGAGGACCACCAAGCTAGAAGCATGTAACAACATAAACAGTGCACCAGCAAAAATTCCCCGATCTCTCTTTAATGGAGCCAGTGCCATCCTACTGGCTAGAGTATTGGACCTAAGCATGGAAGCCTCAGGCTCATCTACCACTTTTGTCATGGGTTGCAATGCTGGTTCCTTTCTGGCAAATCAAGGTATGACCATTTCAAAGCATTTTGCATTCTGAAAGTGCTACAGAAATACTAAGAACGGCATTCTGATTACAACCGCAGTTCCTGATTTCCCACTTTGCAGATTGGAATGAGTTTTGAAATGGGGAAGATTGAGGATGCAATAGACCAGGCTAATGGATTAGATCAAACACAATGAGGATCGGCGTTTCGGTTTCCTGGAAGCAAAGAAATACCTATTGCTATGCTCCCATCAGGCTCAGGCCATTTTAAAAAAGGGGAAACTCTCAGCCAGGCCTGATTCATACATGGTGTGGGCCACAGACGAAAGTGCTTCCCTGTGTCCATGTTCTTTGTAAATGCAATGCCCATCATGCACTTACCATGAACACTGGGTTATTTGCATGCAGCTAGCAGATCAGAGACCCCTGACTTCTATGTGTATTGTGTGCTGAGCATGAATGGCTCAGTAGCACACAATGCATCTTAACGGGGCAGGGCACATGTGGACATTGACACAGGCAAATGTTGTGCCTCTGAAACATGGGATTTGGCAAACGTGCCCCCTTCTCAACCATTTCATCCAGTGAGGAAAAATACCAGCTGAGTCAAACTGCAGATGCTGGACAATGAGGCTATACTGATAACTCTCTCCAATGGCTGGGACTGAAGTCATCTTATCTTTCTTTCTTTTGTTGTTCTTTTATATATATATATACAAAAGTACATTTACAAAGGACAAATAGCTGGAAGCATGCTGGAAAAGTGAGGGAAGATGGGATGGTCAGGGTCTCTGAACTCCTCACATGAGCAACGCCGCAACATTCTCGGTGTAGGTCAGAAATGCATCCAGCTGAGGAAGGTCCCTGAGAAAATGGTCCACACGGCTGTCAGTCATGCAGTGGGGGTAGGCCACCACATGCTGGGGGGCGGGCACAAATGGAGGTCAAGGAATAGCCGGGGAGCCAGGAACGAAGGCAGCACCTCACATCAAGGAACCCACCCACCCACTCCGCATGTAACTATCAGTTTCCAGGAACTCACTGTGGCTCAGGCTCTGCGGGGAAGACTTTGAGTACACGACAAACGAGAGGCCTCGTGGTATTGTCCCACCTCTTTTTTCTTTTTTGGTGGGGGCTGCCCCAATCCTGAGCGACAGCCACCTCCCAACACACATATACACACACACACAAATATACAGACAGCCCTGAAGGTTTTAAAACTGATACAGGGACAGACGGACGACAACACACTCAGGCGGCCTCTCCCTGCCCAGAGAAGGCCTTTTCACATGGGGGGGCGCATGCGACACCGAATTATTGGGGAGCATGTCTGAATGAGAGAGTGGTTTGGGCAGCGGGAGGGAGTGGTACGCCAAGATATAAAGAGTCCCCCTTGGGCCAGGCGAGCTGATGTCAACCAGCGTCTGTTGCCATGGAAGTGCGACCCAGAGGCAAAGTGGGGGGGCGGAAAAGGGGCGTGAATTACAGCGGTGGAAATCTCCCTCACACTCAGCACCCATAAGAGCTGCCTGAAACGACCTTCGAAAGGGGTGGTGGAAAGCAAAAGCGGGCTTGAGCACATGTCCAAGCCCAGCTGGGGGCAAGCGAGAGATCACGCGGGTCCTGGCGCTCAAGCCAGTCCCTCCCCCAGTCCTCTTCCCTTGTCCAAACCAAAGCCATATCCTCAGTCCATCTAGAAGATTCCATGAAATAGTGATTAGCCAGGTGCTCAGGGTTGGGATGGGCTGGAGAGTAAGGCAGGGCTGCCCCTGCCTTGCTGCTGCTGACATCTCTGTTTTACTCTTTGGCCTTGCTTCGCGTGCTCATCCGGCCTTCAAATTTCTGTGAGTGCGTCGGCAGGCACCAGGCCTCGCTTTTTGCCACTCGTCACCTTGATGAAACCCTCGTTCTCCTTGGACTTCCCCACACCAACACAGATCTGGGAGGAACAGAAGATGACGGAACGAAACGTGAGCAAACAGGTCAAGATTTTATAATGCAGAATGCAGCCGGAACAACAACAAAGTCAGTCAGTCCTTCCTTATTTATTTATTAGGTGGCGCAGGAACTGGCATCCTCAAAATCTCAGGGTTTTTTGGGGGGGGTTTTGTATTCTTTTTTAAGAAAGCAAGTTTCTAGTCTCAATGGTTGCAAAGAAAAGCTGGAGGCAAAGGGCTTACAACATACGGAGAGTGTGCATTGTGAATACTCAGCTCCCTGAGTTATGACAGAAAATTTCCCCCTTGATATTCTTGTGGAGAAGCTGGTAAAATGTGGCCTGGACAAGGCAACTGTTAGGTGGCTGACTGGCCAAACCCAATGAGTGCTAACAAATGGTTCTTCAACATCCTGGGGAAAAGGGGCAAGTAGGGTGCTGCAGGGTAGCTAACGCTTCAGAAGACAGCATCAGGATTCTTGGTGACCTTAACAGATCGGAGAACTGGGCCCAAACTAGCAACATGAATTTCAATAAGGATAAATGTAAGATTCTACCCTTAGGCAGGAAGAAACAGTTGCACAAATAGAAGATGGAGCACACATAGCTTTACAGCAGTACGTGTGAAAAGGATCTGGGGTCTTAGTAAGACAAGCTTAACATGAGTCAACAGTGTGATGATGCAGCAGCAAAAGAAAGCTAATGTTATTCTAGGCTTCATCAACAAAAGCTTAGTGTCCAGATCAAGGGGTGTAATAGTACCACTCTATTCGGCCTTGGTCAGACCACACCTGGAGTACTGTGTCCAGTTTGGGGCACCACAATTTAACAGGGGATATTGACAAGCTGGAGAGGAGGGCGACCAAGATTATCAAGGGTCTGGAAACCAAGCCTTATGAGGAATGGTTGAAGGAGCTGGGTAACAGGAGACTGACAGCCATCTTCAAATGTCTCACGGGCTGTCACATGGAAGATGGAGCAAGCTTGTTTTCTTCTGCTCTGGAGACCAGAAGATTTCAACGGATTCAAGTTATTAGAAAGGAGATTCTGACTAAACAACTTTCTGCCGATACGGTCTGTTCAATGGTGGAACGGACTCCCTCAGGAACTGGTGGACTGTCCTTCCTTGGAGGTTTGTAAGCAGAGGTTGGATGGTCACCTGTTATGGATGCTTTAGTTTAGATTCCTTTAGTTTAGATTGCAGGGGCTGGACTTGGGCGTCCCTTCCCACTCTACGATTCTGTGATTCTCTCCCTTACAAATGAAACAAGCCTCCAATTTTATCCCTCAGCACCATAAAAATCCTTGCACAATCCAGCAGCGGTGCAGATAAAGGAATAACAACAAGGACGCAATTTCCCACTTCATTGACTTCATATACACGTTGAACATGGTGAACTGATTGTATCCTGCCAGCGATTATGCTGAGGCATTCACTATCCATATATTCCCTTATAGGAATAAATAGAATTGATATTTCTACAGCGGCCCTTTATGACATAAAAGCGGTTCCTCCCACCCCTTTGTCCCCGGTGGTGTGACTCGAGAGACCTTGTCGCATCTATTGTGATGACTATGTTCTTGGTTGATCACGTATACAATCCGCATAGGAGTCAACACCGCCAGTGGTTATCACTGTAACATTTGAGTTGAACACTCCCGTGCATTCCAAGTCCCCATCCCTCTTGAACTAACAAGGACCTGCTAATGATCTACTCTAAGCCACTCAATCCGCCTGCTTGATATGCCAGCCTGCCAGTCTCAGTGGGCCAAGTGCCAGCAGACAGCATCTTCTGGTGCATCTTAATACACACCTCAGGCAAAGCACAGCAAAGCACGCAAATCTCAGATGCGGAAGAAGCAGGTGGCTTCACACTCAGAGCAAAACGAATGAGACCCAGCAAATTCTGGGAGGAGGAGGTGCAATGGACTCTCTGGAGCTCCTCACCTTCTGCTCCAGGGTTTGAACTCTCGTCCTCCTCATTTTTCTTCTTCTTCTCGGGGGTTTAATAGGGAACTCTCCTTCTGACTGGTTGCTTCTGAGGCAGGGGTCAACAAACTTATTCAGCAGGGGGCCAGTCCACTGTCCCTCAGACCTTGTGGGGGGCCGGACTATATTGTGTGTGTGTGGGGGGGGGGGAATGAACGAATTCCTATGCCCCACAAATAACCCAGAGATGCATTTTAAATAAAAGGACACATTCTACTCATGTAAAAACACGCTGGTTCCCAGACCGTCCGCGGGCCAGATTTAGAAGGTGATTGGGCTAGATCCGGCCCCCGGGCCTTAGTTTGCCTACCCATGTTCTAAGGAGCTGTAGTTGTTGAAGGAGGCAAACTCTTTTCCTGTTGCTGGGCTCTGACTAAGTGCCTCTTATGGCTCACACTCAGAAGAGAGCACTGATAGCCAGGGGGGAAAAAGTACATAGGATCCATACTAGACTCCGCTTGAGACATCTAGCTCGCCTTCAAGTGAACTTTCGCATTTGCAAAAACATTGAGCTAGTCCTCTAGAAAGTGGAGGGGGGGTTATTGGGCTGTTTTTGGTATGTATTTTGTCTTTTCTATATTGCAATTTTATGTTGTGAACCTCCCTGAGACCTGAGGGTATAGGGCAATATACAAATTTAATAAATAAGAATGATAATACAGTCGTACTTTGGAAGTCAAACGGAATCCATTCTGGAAGCCCGTTCAACTTCCAAAATGTTTGGAAACCGAATTGTGGCTTCTGATTGGCAGCAGGAGCTTCCTGCAGCCAATCAGAAACCGCGGAAGCCCCGTCGGACATTCAGGTTCCAAAAGAATGTTCGCAAACTGGAACAATCGCTTCCCGGTTTGTGGCATTCAGCAGGCAAAACGTCCTAGTTCCAGGGCATTCGGGATCCAAGGTACAACAGTAATTGATGCAGTCTAGAAGAGCGTTAGCTTTTTTTTTGCTGCCACATCACACTATTAACTCAGGTTAAGCTTGTGGTCCACTAAGACCCCTAGATCCTTATCACATATACCTCTAGTAAGCCAGTTGTCCCTCACCTTTCATTTGTGCAGCTGGTTCTTCCTGCTTAAGAACCACCAAACCTCAGAGGTGCTCGTGCCCTGTATGCTAGAGGGACTGCTTGGGGGTGTGTCTCCTCCAAGGGCAGGCAATTTGGCAGAGATCCGGCAGCGAGAGAGATTGAGTGCTCCAGACGTACCCGATGGGAGAGAACCGTGACGTTAGTTCACTCCTGGCACACAGATTGGAATCATTACAATCTCTCCTGTTTTAAAATTGATAGCATTTCATATTGCTTTTGCAATATTTGCTTTCTGCAATGTTAGATGCAATGCGACAAATAACTGAGAAAAGTGACACCATCCCTGCCCTCGAGACAGCAAGTACCATTGCTCAGTTAACCAAAAGGCAACTCACCGTATTTACTTGAGTCTAATGTACCATCGAATCTAATGCACACCTCAATTTTCAGAACCTTGAAACCAAAAAGAGTATTTGCTGCCATTGAATCTAATGGGCACCTTAATTATCGCAACGTAATTGGCCTAAAAAGGTGAGCATTAGATTCGAGTAAATACGGTAATATGAGTCAAAGCGCACATACCACAATCTTTCTCTACAATCCCCCTCTATAGCCCATCTGATAGCTCAGTCCGGCAGAGCGTGATACTCATAATCTCAAAGTTGTGGGTTTGAGTCCCATATATGCAAAGAAAGGAAGGGCAGGCATAGCTGACCATGTAAACAGGCCAATTTGGTGATATGAACTAGGCTTGGAGAAAAAAACACATTAGCAGATATGTAGCTAATTATGTATGAGATGCTATGCCTTGGAAAGCCAAAATTCTGTGACCTTACATGTGATTTTTGTTTTGTTTTAAAAAACTGCAAATAGCAGTCACTGGGGAGCCTGATCAAGACTGGAGCTGTGGCATACAGGGAGAGGGGCTTTAACACTTCCTGCCCTGCTGCAGTTCTGCCCAATATCACCCCTCTGAAACTGCTCTTTACATTGGCCACAAAGCTCTAATGGAGGAAAGTTACTGTCATGTGCTTAGCATCGCACATAGCTCCAGGCAGAACACAGGATGCAAACGTGTGATCCCCCTAGAGCAGGCTTGTCCAACTTCCAAGAGACTGGGATCTACTCCCACTGTAAAAAAAACTGGTGATGATCTACTGGATTGACCAAGGTTGTTGAGCTTTTTTTAGTAAGTAAAAATTGTTGAGCTTTTTGGGTGAGATCAAAGTTGTTTTTTGGGTTAATGAATGTTAGAATGATGTTGGATAGAAATTAAGTGGTTTTCAGCTGTAATATTTTAAGGGAATATGAAAAATGGATTATTAATAGGTCAAAATTTAACGTTACAATATTTTAAGATTAAAGACTAGGATAAACAAAGAGGGTAAGGATTTGCTGAACTAACAAACTGAACTGGAATACAAAAAAGGGAGGCGTGAGGAGGTCCGGGAAACAAGCTAATGAAAAATAAGTAATGGAAAGATTGAGTTATTTTTAACTATTTCTTTTTTGTATTTTCTTCTTTTTTATTTTTATTTTGTAATATTTTGAAAATCTTAATAAATATCTTATATAAAAAAAAACAAAGTTGTTTTTTTGGGGGGTGGGAGGGGTCCCAAGATCTACCGCGATCTACCACAGGCACCCTGCAATCTACCAGAAGATCATGATCTACCTGTTGGCCATCCCTGGCCTAGAGTTTTCTTCAGAACTACACAGACTAGAAACTTGCTTTTTCTTTTCTTTTTTTAAAAAAAAGACACTTGGGATTTTCAGATGTCTATAATGTACAGATACTTTATGGGCAAAGAAGGCCCCATATAGGATGTTTGCTCCTACCTGATTCTCCTTAACGCTGAGCTGTCCCTGTTCCTTACTTCCATAGAAAGTCTTGCAGCATCTCCAGACTGTTTCACCCGGGCGGACCCGCTGCACAAAATTGGCTGGAAAGAAACCCACGCGGTCACCCATCTTCCCCTAGGATACAAAAAGGAAAAAGTGAGCTATACATACCACCCAGCATTGTCTCTAAAGGCCCATTTGGGCGAAGAGCAGCTCCAGCTGGTTCACTAATTACAGAGAGAGAGAGAGAGAGAGAGAGAGAGAGAGAGAGAGAGAGAGAGAGAGCTTGGAACCCGTGATCCAAACTCTGGTTGGGCTACTGAAGTGCGTTCTACATGGAGATGCCCTGAAAGACAGTGGGGCCGTTGCAATGGGTGCAGATTGCAGCAACACAGGTCAGACTCGTTTTGCCCCACTCCTATGTGATCTGCACTGCCTGCCAATTTGCTTCTGAACCCAATTCAAAGAGCTTATGCTATACAGAATCTCCTCCTGTATAGATCTGCTTCGTTGCTGAAATCAGCCAGGGAGGTCCCGTTAGCAGCATCGCTGTTCTCTGAGCTCCAGAAGGTGGCAGAGCATGAGAGGGCCTTCTTTATGGTGGCTCCCAGGCTGATGAATTCCCTCCTTTCCAAGGAGCAATATTGCATAGTCACGATACATATTTCAGTTACAGCCTTTATTGCGGGGAATGAAGGAGTAACCTGTCAGTTTACTGCTCCCCTCCTCTTTTAATTGTCATTGTCATGCTCTCATTCAACTCTCATTGCAATGTTGGTTGATTCAGGCAGATTGATAGTGGTGTTCTCAGTAGGGGTCCAATTGGGCAAGGCTGTGGGGTCTGCCAGAGTTTCTCAGCAGGTGGGTGGAAATTTGCAAGGTTAAGCAGTGGGTTTGTTTGTTTGTTTGTTTGTTTGTTTGTTTGCAATTCTCTGCCCCCTTACTCAATGGACAATTTCTGAGAGGAAGAAAAAGTTAAGTTACATTTCGCTTTCTTTTTTAAAATGGTCATTTGTAATATTTGATACTTGGTTAATAAAACCATTTTTAGAAAATTCAGGGGGAGAAGGGAAGAGGTGTAATTGTCTGCCCTTCAAGCCATGAAAGGTTCACCTCTTTTTTTCTGATATGTGTCGGCTGGTTATGGGGTCGAGAGAAATACTACACCATGCAGAGGCAAACTAGGTCCTCCAGATGTTTTGGGACTACAATTCCCATCATCCCTGACCACTGGTCCTGTTAGCTAGGGATCATGGGAGTTGTAGTACCAAAACATCTGGAGGGCCGAGTTTGCCTATGCCTGGACTACATGCTCAGAGAGGTTTGCTCTCAATGCTGCAGGAACTCTTGCCTTTCCAACCTCAGGTGGCATCAAACAGCAAAAGTAGATGGATAAAATTAGATATTTCCACAGTATCACACTGGGGCTTTCTGAAGAAGCACAGGAAAAGCAGCAAAGTCGGAGTGGACAGAGCAGCAGAGGGCAAGGCTCCATCTTCTGACTCTTTATGGGCAGCCCGGAGGCTCTGGAAGTGTGAAGGAGGATGCTCTTGAAACCTGCCATGTTGCTATAGCAACAGGGACAAGGAACTTGATGTGTGTCTGGCTGCCTCACGAGGCCAAGGCCTTTCTCTGAGGGCCTATAAAGTGCGTGAGAGAGAGAGACATAAAATTGGAGGGAGGGAGGTGTGTTAAGGACACTGTGGGCTTGTGGGTAGAGACAGAGGAACCCACAAAAAGCAGAACCTACAGAGCAAGATGTGCATATTTGCAACTGTGATCAATGGGTCCTGAAGGAGAAAAGGGCAGAAGGCATGGTAGCAAAATAGATAAGAATAGGTTTGGGGTTTTTTAAATGGACATAGGAAGCACAGGTTTGAATCACTGTGCCCTCTCCCTTTACCTCTCAGGGATATCCTTTATTTATGGAGAAAATATTTATATCCTGCTTTTTTATTATTTATTGCATTCATACCTCTCCCTCCCTCCAAGGAGCTCAAGGCGGCCCACACACTTCTCTCCGTCTCCGTTTTATCCTTCCAGAAACCCCATGAGGTAGGCTAGGCTGAGAGAGAGTGTCTGGGCCTCATGGGTGAGTGGTGATTTGAACCCTGGTCTCCCAGGTCGTAGTCCTAACCACTAAGTCGCACTGGTTCTTCACCCAAGAGGCCCCAGAGTGGTTTACGCAGTCAAACTGGAGAAAACAACTGGGATGCTTCTGTTCTGCTCACCTTCCACCAGTCCTCATTGGAATCATCCATCAGCATGATTCGATCTCCAGGCCTGAGGAGAGACAGAGAAAGTCACAATTGAGCTCAATGACAGCTTGGGAGTGGGGATGTGGTGGCAGATGACAGAAGGTCTTCTGCATATCCAAATTAACTTAACTTACTCATTTATCTTCTTTCAATATATACTGTTATGTAGCTGCAGGTTTTTACAATAATCCTGCCAGTGTTTTTATCTGTTTACAATTTGTCTGTAAATATTCAATAAACCATTTCCATTCTTTTATAAACAGTTTGTTCTCTTGATTTCTTATTCTTCTGTAAGTTTCGCCATTTCTGCATTTCCCTTATGTTTTTGTATCAGTCCCATATGTTTTTGTATCAGTCCCAGCAAATGGATACAAAATGGCACTTTCAGTCCGCTAGCTACAGAAATCTGCCGATTCCTAGAGGGGCCTGGAAACTGGTGTAGTGGGGGAAGTAAACAAAACCAAAACCGCCTCCATCTTCTGCCCTCGCAGGTGGATAGGGCTTCAGAGGCATATAGCGCAGGCATGGGGAACATTTGGCCCTCCAGTTTTTGTGGAACTACAACTCCCATCAGTCCCAGCAGGCCTGGCCAATGGCCAGGAGTGATGGGAGTTGTAGTTCAGAAACACCTGAGGGCCAAGGGTTCTGCTGCTCCACCTCTCCCTTGATGCCACCCCACCTAGGATTGCTCTGTTAATAGACTGGCCAGTACTTATTGCTATTCCCAAATTGTGGGTGTGTCTCCACAAATTGTGGGTGTGTTTCCAAAGGCCAGCAAGCAAGCTCCTTTGGCCAAGGGGACCCACGATCCAAATAATCACTAGCTCCTGAACCAATGGGCTCTCAAGATGGGCCAAGGGGGAAGACTTACTTCAGGGGTAAATCGTTGATCTCCTGAGGCAAAAACTTGTAGAGAGCGACATATGAGTACATGGGCGAGACCTCCTTTCGTGCACAGCCTTGAGTTGACTGTAGGAGGAAGAAAGAGCCGTAAGGAAAAACAGAGCTTGGAAATTTTTGCCCAGGCTTTTAACCCAGGACATTTTTTAAATTTATTTTTTTTTGGAACTAGGGCTGCCAACTTTTAAAAAAAACCAGTATTTTTTTGCTCCTGTACCTTTGGAGAGCAGCATGAGCTGAAGGTATAATCCTGCTTCTCTCCATGCTCTAAGAAGTAGCACCTGCTCACAAGGTTGTGATCAGTTGGCAGCCCCTATTGCTGTGTGCCATTTTAAACAACAGACTCCATTCAGGAGCAAAAAGTTACATCATTCCTGTCCATTTTTTACTAGAGGAAGGCACCCTTAGGTGCCTTGCAAGACAGGTTCTGTTGTGGGTGGGTGCACTTTAGCCTTTTTTAGCATACGCAAAACTGGAAAAGGCTAAAAATACTTTTAAAACAATAAATAATCAAGACCTTTCCCAGCCAAGGTGACGGAAGTGCAATACAATATCTGCTGCGGCTTTTCATCTGTCTTGCCAAATGTGCTTTAGCACAATGCGGAGGAAGAAGGATTTCGCTATTTTCCATTTTCAGGGCTGGGTTAGGGCTTCAAAAAGGAATGGCACAGGGTGGGAGGGACATAGCAGGGAAGTGACAGAATGTAGCAGGAAGGGATGTTGATGACATGCGGATGAAGGAAGAGTTCACCTGTTGCCCTGGGCTCTTTTCTTCCGACGTAGTGCCCTCACCCTCTGCTGGTGCTGAGAAAACTGAAACAAATCAAGAGGTGGGATATCAGACGTTGCAAGTTCTCAAGGAATGTGTGCACTAGTACCAGACGGATTGGCTTTTCTCTATATCACCTGCAGGAGGTGCTGCCATTTACAACTCCTCTCTCCCACGGAGGGCTATGCTACAGGCATTGGAGACTACCTAGGATTCGGAGGGGGGCGGGGTCACCACCAATCCAAAGTGACATTGGTTCCCATTAACGGCTAGGCACACATTTAGGACCTGACTTCTGGTTTTCTCTCTCACCACTTTCTTCCTCCCCTGCGGCAGAACAGGGAGCTACCCAGAGAAATCGAGAATTCTAAAATTCCAGATTTGGGCATAGCTATATTTAGGTACCCGCAAAGCAAAAGTTAGCATTAGAGCTAAGATCCTGTACTCTTTCTAATGTGGGCTTTGTTTGGGGTACAAAATGTAATTTATTTATTTTTTTTATAGTGGCTTTTAAGTGCATGCACGCAATATTCACAACAGATGACTCTCCCCACCCCATCTCCCAACGCAATATGGATTGAATTTTCCGTGGAACCAGCACTGACAGGGCAACTTTTCAATGTTTAAAAAGTGACACGAGCACATCATTTGTTTCTTTTTCCACGTTAGAAAGACCAGAAACATTTGGCTTTGCTGCAGCCTTTTGCAACTGATGCTTCCCCCCATGCATTAAGCTCTACTTGTGTGGGTTAAGTTCTGGTGAGGGCTAGTGAGATGGGAATTCTTATCTCTATCATTCCCATTAACCAAAAAACGGTGGCTCTACTCACCGTCATCAGGCTGACTTTCCTCTGTTGTCTTTCCAGCACCTTCTGGGTCCTCAGCCACTTCTTCCTTCTCATTCTAGGAGAGAGATGCACACGCACAAACACACATGGACATGAGGGAGCAGAACTGAGTAGGAAACAGTTCCTTAATGGTGCAGGACCTACGCCTCTGTGTTCATGTGGCTGAGGTGACTTACGTGGTTTGCCCCATTTAGAAGCCTTGGCTTGCAGCCGTGGAAAATGCCCAGATAACTAAACTAAAGCTTTTTGTATTGTGTCTATTAAGCAAGAATTATATTGTTGTTTTAAATAGCACAGCACCTAAAAATTGTGGGCAATTATTAATTAGACTTGTAAAACACAGGTGACTTTTAAGCTGGGCAATCCACTTCTATTCTTTCCTCGAAACCCAAGTGGGGAGCACAGGCCATCATAAAAGGGTCAGAGCAAAACCACCCCCATTCTGTTGCCATCTTCCATCATAAGAAGAAAGGAGAGTTCGGGGTGGTGTGGGGAGTATAATGCATTTCCCATAAAACTGTATTTAAAAGAATTCTTGGGAGGGGGGCGGATATAAATTCAAAATGAATTTTGTTCCATTCTTTGTTCCTCCTCACTCCTGGTCTCACTAAAACCCAAGTCACAAATCATAAGGAGAACTGGAGTTTCCCCTACAAGTTTGAAGATTCTAGATCCTGGCTTGATACAAACAATTGTGTACATTGCTTTCTTGATTTCTTATTGGCTTCCACCTGAAGGGCCAATCAGGGACTGTTAGTTAGCTCCTCCTCCTCCTCTTTCCGGTGCACCATTCCTACCCTTCCCCTGCAATCCTTTCTACAACCATGCCCTGAATCTCAGACATGGGATTCCCACAACCCCTGGAATCTTCACCCGTGACCTCGCCTGTCTACCCAAATACATCTTTTGCATATGGCATGACCATACCAGGCTCCTGGTGGGGGACTCTGAGGTGCTGCTGAAGCTGGAGCGATTCATGTAGGCCAGGGAAGTGCCATAGCGCAGGGTCTCGTAAATGGGGTCCACCTTTCCACTGGGGCCTGCTGGTGAAGGGAAGACCACTTCAGAGCTGGATTCTCAAAGCAGGAGGCAGGGGCAAAGGCAGCTGCCTCATATCAAGTCAGTCTACCCCACTATTCTGAGTTTATCTATCTGCTCCCACCCTCTCTTTCACACACCAGAATTTGTAAACTGCAAAACTGCAGGGTTCAGACCCGTCTATAGACCCACTCCATCCTGCTCACCCCAATCCCAAATTCATGGGGAAGAGGTGGCCTCATCTGGGAGAGGGGGTAAAGTCCTCTGCATTATATCAACATTGGAAGGCTAAGACTCAACCTTTAAAATAATTTGAGGCTCAGCTAAAGCATCTTGACCCAATTTTACTTATTTTAACAACACGGCGGGTTTGCAAGATTGCTCACGGTGAAGGAGATCTCCACCAACCAAGACTAATCAACTCCCCACTTTCAAGTTGCACCCACAAAAGGGTAGAGTTGGCTTCCATGAATCCCAAAGTATCCCACTGCCTCTATAAATCGCAACAGCCTGAAAGTCAAATGACTTCCCTTCCCTGTCCCCACCTCCGGAAGCTACCTAATAACAGAAGCATAACTTCTTCCTACTGTTGTGGATCTGGGAAGCCTCAAATCCAAAAGACTGTGTTTCCCAAAGGCTGAGCTGCTGTCCGTCTTTTTGTTTTCCATTACCCATCAGCCCTCTGTGGACCAGTCCACTCCTACCTGTAGGGGGAGACTCCTTGGGGGCTGCTGGCGGGGGCTGCGGCTCATGTACCAGCATCGGGGAGCTGAGATTGCGTCGGAAAGAGGTTGCCTGCTGAGGAGCAGAAGTGGGAAGAATGTGAGCGGATTCTGTGAATATACCAGACTGTGGGCACATTCTGCCTTCCATGAGCGGAGGGGGTTAGGCAAGGCAGATAGTGAACCATTTTGCCCTATTGGCGATTAGTAGCCTGCGAACCATGTGACTTTTCCAGCATCCAGCAGCTCAGACAGAGAGAGTGCAAGGCTAGATGAAGGACAGCACAGAACTCTGCACATGAGCTGTTGAAAATGGGGATTTCCCAGTTTCGCACTATCCGCTCCCAGAAGCTGGTCTGTGGAGTCCTCCAGTGGTAGGCTACTCGCCCAAGCAGGCTATTCGCTGCTGTGAACTCCTCAGTGCGCATGAGAGCTACGAGAAGTTGAGAAATGGGAGCAAGCTCTAAGTTGACAGCAAATCTGCAGCTGCAGTGTGGATAGCTCAGTTGGTTAGAAGATGGTGCAGGTTCAATCCCTGTATGGGACAGCTGCATATTCCTGCATTGCAGGGAGTTGGCCTAGGTGGTCCTCAGGGTCCCTTCCAACTCTACAATTCTATTACTCAAATGCCAAAGCGAGACCGAAGCTTCCTTGCCTTGCCTTCTTTTTGTGGCAATTGCTAAGCCACACAGTGTGGGGCCTTGTGCCTTGTCTTGGTTGATGGGTTAGGTCACAAAGGGAGTGCAGTGCTTCTTCTCCCTTCTGCGGGGCTGATGAGGCAGCTCAGAAGCTGTAGCTGTCTCTGTCTCTTTCCCTTGGGTGCTGACTCGTGCAAGCCACTTACCGTCTTGCCGGGACACTGCTGGTGGGAAACCTCTTCTGAACACCACAAATGAACGCTGGCTTTGCATGTCTTGCATCGGAGGCCTTGCTTGGAGTTCCCTGTGAGGCAAAACAAACACACAGAGATATTTTGGAGTAGGAATGATCGCTGGGCAGCCTGCGAGCAGCCTCAGCTGTCTGCACGCGTGACCTTGGGGTGTGGAGCACACTCCCCCCCCCCACAGATAAAGCCACAGCTGTCTGAACATCTTGTCCTCTATCTAACCCTTTGCTCTCTTAGTGGTCTACCGTGCCCTGCCTGTGACCTTTGTCTGCTTCATCATACATTGTGCAAGGGGAAAATGTCATTGTGGAAACAGGTGCCAAAATAACCTTGCACCACCCCACGATCTCGGGATTGGAAGATGTGTAAAGGTCACAGTCCAAATGTATCTGGTTTTGCATACTGTGCCAATAAAAGGAGCTTCCGCAGAGCTAGCTGGCAGCTTGCTTGTGCACAGCTCACCTGCATTACCAACTCCTGCCTCATGTCCTTCACTTCATTTTGGGTCCTTATGGAGGGTAAGGGGCTTGGGCTGGATGACCCTCCGGGTCCCTTGTACAATTCTGTGGCTATCAGCAGATACGAGTCCTCATAACTCACAACGGCTATATACTGTACCTTCAGGATCAGAGGCACCATGTCTCTGAATGCCAGTTGCTGGCGGAGAACAGTGGGAGAGGGATTTTGCGCTCATGCTCTGCTCATGGGTTTCCCAGAAGCAGCTGGCTGGTCCCTGTGGGATGCTAGACTAGATGGTCCTTTGGTCTGATCCAACAGGGATCTTACGTTCACAAGGTCCTGTGCAGGTGGGGTGTGTGTGTGTGTGTGTGTGTGTGTGTATAATATGAACTGGGGAGAGAAAATTTCCACAAGAAAGGAGACAAAGGGAGGAAGGGGCATAGCTCAGTGGTGCAGCACATGTTCTGCATGCAGAAGATCCCAAGTTCAGGGAAGAAACCCTGGAGAGCTGCTGTCAGCTGTTGCCAAAAGAACTGGGCTTAGATTGGCCAATGATCTGAGGCGGTATAATGCAGCTTCCTAGGATTCCAATTAGCCAGGCGCTGGGCGCATTTTGCGACTGGGGATTGTCAGAATGCGAGCCCTTTGAGAAGTCTGGCTGCCATGTACGGCGACTGAGACTCAAGAATAAAACTGCCACTGGTGGTGCTGAAGGCACAGGAGGAGAAACGCGTTCCCTCACGACTCCAAAATAGGATCGCTGCTGCACAGCGAAGTGCCGCTTCCCCGGCCGCAGCCCAAGTCACCCTTGTAAAAAAGGACTCAATGGCAACTAGACTTTCTATTTTTGCACCCATAACCCAGGAGCCATGAGGCGAACAGCTTTTCTATCCTCGTTCTAACACTGCCTAAGAGTAGTCTGATAGAAAACACCACCTATTGTACAGAGAGATGCAGCTGTTTCCTACACTTCGCTTCCTCCTGCAATAAGATGCTTCGATGTTAACCAGGTCAGTTTCGTTGTGAGAACTGGAGGCGTTTTTTGAAATACTTGCTCATTTACGAACAAAGATGTCGAGGAACTGGGAGGAGGCGGCAGGCACCTATGTAATATGCAGAAAGCAAATGGCATGGCCACCACTGAGCCCCTCCTGCCTCAATTCCCCCTCTAGCAGCTTCTCGCCAGCCAGCTGCAGAATCTGGGATGTCTCCTTCGCTGGCTGCATCCCAGCTGCGAAAGCCTCCGCTCCCAAACAGATGAGTTACGCTAGCACCCGGCATCCACTGAGGCTCATTTGCGCCAGCATCTTCTAGCGTCAAATAACTAATGCTTATTAAGGATGCAAAAGCTAGGGCCGAAAAGGTCATCTCCACATCTAGCCATAATGCAACATTTGAAGACAGCCACAGATGCCGGTGGTAAAGGGCAGAAGAGAAAGATGACAAGAGTCGAGGGTACCTCTCTGTGTGTGTGTAGGCGCACATGTATTAGCCAGAACTGCAAAGCGCGAGTCAGGACCCGAGAGCAAGAGGCCTTCAAATACGTACCTACGATAAGCTGGTGGCAGATTTCGCAAGGGTTGTGCTTCTTGAAGATGTACTCTTGGAAGCTGTGCGTCTTAATGGGCTTGAGGGGGGCCAGAGCCCTGGGGGTCGCTCTGGGAGAGTGCTCTGCCTCCGTGAGGGCCGGCGGCGGAGACGGTGGCGGCAGGGAATCTGGGGGGCTGAGGAGCACGTCGGAGGGGAGCTTGAACTCGCTGTTGGAGCGCAGGAAGAAGTTCTCAACGCTCTTGCTCCGCAGGATGGTTTTGAGAGAGAGGGAGCGCTTGAAACGCTGCAGCTAAAGGGCAGGTGGGAGAGAGGGTGGGGGAAAGAGGAGAAAATAAGAAAAGCTACGCTTTGCGGGGAGGGGGACACAAGTAGAAAGTTTGCCGAGCTTTCTCTGGGCCGTTACTGGACCTCCCAAGCCTTGAGAACAAACAACCGTATCGGGAAACGACTATGAGAAGTGCTCAAAATGCGTAATATATTCGTTTTTTAGATTGATTTAAAAGCCGTTTCTAACCTGCTTAATACTCAAAAAGCTCTCTAAGCAATATGCACCAATACAAGGCAAAAGCACCATGGAAACAGATACAAACAAACAAAAAAGTATTATAAAAACAAACTTTCAGTAATAACAGGGGGAGTATCTCATCTTGCAGGTCAGGGAAAGCACATACGAAAAAGGTGTCTGAAGCCAGCAGATGTATGAGGCTTCATATATGGCAGAGGGAAGGAAATTCAAGTGGGAAGGGGCAAAATACCTAATAAAAACATAAACAACCCAATAGCCACCCCCAACACATTTTAAAAGGGCATAGGATGTAAATTGGATCAACCAAAGGCCTGGTTAAAAAGGAACGTTTTTGCCTGGTGCCTAAAGGTGTAAAATGAAGGCAGCAGGCGAACCTCTCTCGGGAGAGCATTCCACAGATGGGGTGCCACTGCAGAGAAGGCCCCGTTCTCGTGTTGTCACCCTCCGGACCTCTCGAGGAGGAGGCACACTAAGAAGGGCCTCAGAAGATGATCTCCGGGTCCGGGTAGGTTCATATGGAAAGAGGCAGTCCTAGCTCTGTAGTCTTTATAATATGCCTAACAAAAATTGCCAGCAAATGCCCATTATATTTCCCAAAACTGAGGCTCAGAGGCAAGTGTTCAGTGCCGCTCGGTGGGTTTATAGCTGGGCTGACATTTGAACTGTGGATGCCTTGACTTATATTGTGACAAAGGTGCCAACTTGAATAAAATGTATGTGAATGAAAATATCAAATGCTGTGGAACAGTGCTCATGTATTATTGTTGTCATTTGATCTTTCCATTCACATACATTCATTTGAAATAAGATGGGTTTATGAAGCAATTCTACATCTTCCCACCACGCTGACAAAGAAGTCTACGAAACAGAAGTCAATATCCGGAATCACTGTTCAGTGTTGGACATCATATGTGCTGAATACACAAAGCTTCACAGCTTGTCTTTCATCGTACAAAGTCTGGTACCTCGCTTCATTTAAAGATTTTCCGAGACTTTGAGACTAAAGATTTCATTTTGGACTTGTTATGGTTTGAAGGAATTCTGTAAAAGATTGTCTATTGCGTATGTACATGGTCATCGTGTTGCCTAGACATTGCTGACGTTCTCTTTGCAACACAGGGGTTTGTTTCATCAATTTAACCCTGTTCAAACTAGATGAGAACCAGGAGACACGTGTCCTGGATTTACAAAAAATATCCAGTTATGAACGTCTCCAAATTAGATAGTGGGGAGGAAGGGGCAGGGGGAGTCGAAGGCAAGGAAGGAGGGGGATACTTAACCCTGCAGGCCATCTCTCTCCTAAAAGCCATCCTTCTCCCTACGCCGCTTTTCTTCCTGCAAGGAAGACTTTACCATGGAAAGGCGAAGGCTGTTAACTTGCTGCAAGGAGGATTTTGTATGCTTTTCCTGCCTGTCTCGGCATGGCAAGAATAAAGCAAGGAAGACACAGACAAGAGACAACAATTAAGCACACTCGGGCCAGTTTGTGGGCCTGGAGGAACAGGCCAGCTCATCGCAGCAACAGCCCGTTGCTTATTGCTGTGGGGGCAGGAGTTCCGACACAGATGCTGCAATGTCTGGGCTCTGGCGCACTCCATGCGCTCTGCTTTTTCTCATCATCTATTCCCAACCAGTAATGGCAGATCAGCCAGCAAGTTGACTCAGCTAAGTCTGTTACACAACAGCTGGCTAATGGCTGTGCTGGAGTCCAGGGCTGGCAAAAAGGTAACAGAGGGTATCTTGGTTATATTGCCACCTCATGTTGAGCAAAGGACATGCTCAATCCGGAAGCCCAGCGCTCGTTTTTCAGTGCGTAGGTATTAATACTGCTGAGCCCAGAATCAAAGCTATTAGCTACAGCCCACACTTCTGTGGTTTGGGAAAGGGCCATCGCTCAGGGTAGAGCATCTTGTTTTGCATGCAGGAGGGTCCCAGGTTCACTCCCTGGCGTCTCTAGAAAAGACTGGAGCTGCCGACCAGTGCAGACAACACTAAGGTTGATGTGCTAGTGGTCTGACTCAGTATATTCCTATGTACCCGCTTAGCACCATTAAGCAGTTTACAGTCTTCATTGATATTATGTATGCTGTCCCTCTGTGGCAGGGTCACTACCGTTATGCTCATTTTAAGACATTTATTTTGTGCTTTTATCCAGTGTTTTCATCTTGTGAACCGCTCTGAGATCTTTGGTCGAAGGGCAGTATATGAATGTAATAAATAATAAGAATTTTACAGACTGGGGAAGGAGCTCAAGACGGAAGAGTGTGCCCCTGGCCTTGCAAGAAACCCATGGCAGAGGTGGGATTTGAACCCAGACCCAAGTCCGGATTTCTCCCCAGTGATCCAAGTGGCTGCTGTTGCTGCTGATTTATTGCCAATCTAATGGCATATGCCTTGCATCTAAAAGGAGGGGAGGGAGGAATAAAACAGCGTGGCAATAGTTGTGCCAGGAAGGAAAAGTTAGCTGATTAGCCGCCGACAAGGCAGGAAAAGAAGCATTAAGGAAGGCTGGCAATTAGATGGCAGCTTAGCAGGAGTATTTTTAGGGTCGGGAACCAGCTGAGTGAACAGAACTGCGAAAGGGAAATCAAGTTTCGAGAGAGAGGGAGGGAAGCTGCCCCAGCTGCAAGGTGCTTCATTACACCCTAGATGCCAAGGCGCCTGGTGGGGCAGAAGAGGCGGCGCTCCCCAGCACCTGCTGCCCTCCTCTGCGGCTCAGGGCCATGCAGAGGTCTGGCAGATGGGAGGCAGCTGCACGCAGCCCAGAAAGCGGTTCGCAGCGCAAGGCTGGAGTGCAAAGGCAGGTCAGAATCTCGCAGGGAACTTTGGCTGAATGTTGTTGCCGCTGCTGCTTCCGCCACCAGCAGCAGCCAAAGTAAATACTTTCCTGCTGTGGGCACAAATCCTAGGGACTTTTGCTCCATTTTGGAATGGTGGGAAAGAAGTTGCGTCAACGGGGGAGGGAGCAGAATTACCTCCACACTTCATGTTATCCTAAGGGGCCCGAGGGTGAGAAGAAGAAAGGCACCCCCCCCCCCAAGCAGGTTTGCCTGCAGCCTTCTGGAATGATGTAGCCCCAGGCAAGTGCCTACGCTGCTTAATGGGTTAGGCTGGCCCTGGAGACAGACCCAGCATGGGGGGGGGGGGGGAGAGAGAGAGAGAGCTCAGAGCGCGGCTGCATTTAGGTAGCAGATAACTGCTTAGCTGCTCCAGGCACCTTTTCCAGCTACTGTTCCAGAGGGGAAAGAATCCATTTGCCACATAAACTGGCCACCATCCAAGCGCACATAACATCTTCTCCAGTTTCACTCCTTTAAAAACAAGAGAAGCCCCCAAAACTGTTTGTATAGCAATGGAAATGTGCAAAGCACTTTAAAAAATCTGCGTGAGAAGGAACCCTGTGAAAACAGGGTGTCACTATTATCAGGGCTGCGTGTGCGTGCGTTGCACTAGAGAAATATGAAACATTGGCTTGGATTCGGTTACCTCCATAAGTTCTATATTTGTTTGATTCTTTTAAATGTCTCATTCTGCAGTGCTCACTCTGCTTTTGCTAGTGACGACGAGACCTGTCCCTGATGCAGCCACTTCTCTGGCTTTGGAGATTTCAACTGGTATTGCCAATACAAAGTGCATTTTTACAATCATAAGGGCTATTTAATAATAATAATAAGGTTGGATTTTGCACCCGGTACCGAATTCTGCACCTATCCTGATCTCCCATGGAATTGAAACGTACACACGGGACTGATTTTTATTCCTGTTTTATGAATGGGCCACTGAGGCTGCAAAATCGTTATGGCTTGCCTGTAGCTACATGCTATGGGAGGTCTGAAGAGTCACAGCAAGCCTGCAGGGTCTCTTAACTTTTGATTTTTACCAGAATCCTGCAAAACACAGAGACATTCAAACAAGCAGGGCAGGGCAGACGGTGCCTTGCTTCAGTATGCAACTGAACGATAACATCACTTATTACAGTCAGGGGCACGGGGGCAGGATGAACCAAGTGGCAGCTAAACCACAACTGATTCTTTGAAACAATCCAAAGCCTTTTGCAGATGTAGGACTTCAACCCGGGAGGGTTTGGCACCTGGCTTGCCTGGAGCACAGCATATTCTGTCATGGCCCATATCAAGATGCTGCTGTTGAAAAATGGTAACGATGATGGTGCCCTTAAGCATGTGCAGAGTGTAACTTCTGAACCACTGAGTATCAATCCTGAATAGCTGCTACTGAATAAATATGGAGACAGACAATAGTGTTGTTGTTGTTGTTGTTGTTTAAGAGAGCCAGAAGAGTTTGAGAAATCACATCCCAGGAAATCACAGCCCCAAGCCTGAGCCAGCAGCAAAAGCAGGATGGGCGTGCAACAAATCCCTTTTAAACCATATTTGTTTAAAAAACAAAGTTTGGGAAGATCAAGCCCCAAAAAGTGATTGCACACAACCAACACAGGTTTAAAGCCTGCATGCAACTCTGGGTCTGGGATGTCTTTGAGAAGGAGGCACTCGGCACCTCCTCAGAGGCACTCTATTTCTATTGCTGCTTTGCTTGGCTTTCAAAGCAGGCCGTGGGACTGAGCCCTGAAGCCCAGTATGCGAAAACAGGAGAGCAATGAAAGTACAGAGAAGCATAAAGCACTGGGGAAGGAGTGGCGGGGGGTCAAGGTGAGAGAGAAGGGGAGAGAGTGCCTGCTCACCATACTGGGGCTGCCTTTCTGCTGCATCAGCAGGGGACCCAGCTGGCTCTGCAGTCTGAGCTTAAAAGCTTTCAGCTCCACTTATGGCTGATGAGCCGGGCCCATTGGAGCGAGAGCGAGAGCGCTAGAGAAAAAGAGACACCACCGCCATGCTCCCAAGCCAGGCACTGCTAATGGAAGCCGCAACACCTCACATGGTCCCAGGGAGCAGCAGCTCCTGCCAGCTGAGCGACAAGGGCGTTTGCTGGGAGCTGGTTGCTGGGCCTGAAATGCACCTTGGTGCTTGCCCCATGAGCACGGGGGCTGCAAGGAGCCCAGCCTGCCGATGGGTCAGACTCAGACACGGCTATTTGTACTATTTGCTGCACAGAACAGGAGCATAGCGGGGGTTGCTGGGGCGAAGGCTCTGGGTGCATTTTTCCAGGAGGGAGTGACACTGCACATTTGGCTCCTCATGCCGCCTTACGAGCCATGAGCCGCTTTGCGAGGCTGGAATGATACACAGGCCATGGCGGCCAGCCAGGCGGGTACCTGACCCTGCCTGACTTAAGTGAGGGGAGGGTCACTCTGGCATCAGCAAGGGCTGGGCTGGCGCAGTGGGCTCCATTCACCCTCTGCGCCCCACTTCGGGCACCAGCAGAGCACGCTACACCACTGGCACAAAGCACAGAGAAATGGAATTGTTCCTTGCTGAAGGACTTACAAATCTATATTAGGCAGAAAAGGAGGAGGTTAAGAGAGAGGACAGGGTTGGTGTCAGGCAACTTGTGGCCCATGGTCTAATTTAAGGTTACCAGACGTCCCCGTTTCTTAGGGACAGTCCCCGGATTTACACATCAGTCCCCATACAAAATCCATTGTAGCTGAAAAGTGTCCCTGGATTCATTGAAAAAAAATCTGGTAGCCTTAGTAATTGCAGGTAGCCTTCCAGAAGCTATGGGATCTCTCTTGCTCTTCAGAGTTGTTGCAATGTGTGAGCCCCACCCACTTTGGTTCTAGCTCCACCCACTTTTGGGGCTGCTCCGCCCATGGGCATAGCCAGGATTTGGGGGGGGGGGGCAGAACTTCAGTTTGCTATGTATTTTTATTGATTGGGGGAGCAGCTGCCCCTCCCTGCCCTACCTTGGCTACGCCCATGGCTCTGCCCACCCTCAGCTGATCTCCCCTAAGGTGACAGAAGAAAAATTCTCCACTCCTGATGGGCCACAGCAAAGATGCAGGCAAGGAGAGCTCTGTTGTCCAACTGTACCTTTAAGAATGCTGCTCCTTTGCGCATGCAATTAACTTATGGAACTCCCTGCTGCAAGAGATATAAGGCAGCCAGGTCTATCCATGGCTATTCGCCACAATGGAAAGGGTGGGGGAGGAACAGGACATTCCTGGATGAAATCAGAAGCTGGGAAGGCTTCTATAAATCCACGAATATGACGGGTCTGCTCTTTGTGGAAAGCCATGTTCATTGAAAGTACAACCACAGGGTGGGGAACAGCGAAGAGGCTTCAGCATAAAGGACTGGAAACTTGAATAAGCCATGAAAAGGTTACCTCTTGAATCTCTTTCCAAGGCTGCCCTGGAATGCACAGATAGCGACGGAGGAAGCAGCAGCACCAGGCATGTCCACAGCCCCTCTTTCTCCCCACTGGGAAGACCTACACCACAGATTGAATGCACATGACTTCCCCTAGAGGACCCTGGGAACTAATCTGTGAAGGATGCTGGGAAGACTAACTCTGTGACAGGGAAACTGCAGTTTGCAGAATTCTCTCTCTGTGTGTGGGGTGGGGTGAGGAGTAACGTACTTTAAATGTGCTTTTGGGGTGTGTTTTAAATGTATGTTGCGGATCTGTCCATCTGAAACAGAGTGCCAGCCCCCACACATATAAGACTAAGGCTAATGTTTCTGGCATCGGTGCCTTTCATTTATAAAACAAAGCACCAGCTGGAGACATGCTCCGACTTTGTGGAAAATCTGTGGAAAAGCTGAAAAGAGGCCCAGCTTCAAAGCCTGGATTCAATCCCATGTGTTCTGTTCCAAAGAAAAGAGCTCTGCAAAGGATACACCGCTCTGCTCCCACTCTTCAGAAACATCACATGCCCTCTCCCCGCGCAGGGAAGGCAGATCAAGGTCGCCTCTGTACAACCCATTTTTTCCAGCATACATCCCGATTTGCTTGCAGGGAAGTTCTCCGACGTCTGCTGTTTATTGAGTACTTGTTTTGATTCCCACCTGCTCCAACCAGGAGGGTACACAATGCATTCAGCAAATGATATTCCCACAAATTTTGTGTGTGTTTCCCCATCACTTTCCTTACTGCACAAGGCCCAACTGTGCAACCTGAATTTGCCAGGATGCAAATTTACATTGCACCTCCAAAAAACGGCAGCAGTCTGTGTGATTGTAGAGCTATAGTGACACTCCTTTGCTGTCAAGGACTTGAAAATTTGAGAACTTGCTCTGAGTCAATTGACCTGGGCAGTTCCTTAGGCTCTTAGTTTCAGTTCTTGCAGAGGGTGTTAAGAGGTTTTTCTGAATAAAACTCTTTCTTTAAAAAACAACAACACTATTCTCCATTCTTGGTGCCTGTTACTGGACACAAACATTACAGTCTGGAAGCGGCTGCTAAGTCCATCAGCTGTTTAGACAGGAGGAACTGTAGCCTCTTGGGCAGAAGCAAGAGAAAGGTTTGGCTGTGTACACACCATACATTTAAAGCACTTTCCCACCCCAATAACCCTGGAAACTAGTTTGTCTCTCACAGAGCTCCAATTCCCAGCATCCTTGACAAACTACACTTCACGTGATTCTCTGGGGTGTGCTTGCATGCTTTAAAAGCACATAGCCTTGAAGGTTTTCCGCCAGATGTACGGTTGCCAGAGAAAAGCTATGAGCAAGTGAAAAAGCACAAGGTGGAATTGAAGTAATGGAACAAGACTGGAAGCCACAATGAGGACTAGAAACTTGTTCCCCCCCCCAAAAAAGGAAAGCACTAGACCCTAGGATCTGGCAGAAGAGACTGCATGCTACACAGAACTATTGGTGGGGAGTAATATGGGCAAGCTGGCCTCCCCCACACCATCCCTAGGACTGGCACAAATTTACTTCTATTGAGGTGGGGGCACTCCTGCCTTTCACCCAGCGCCCGCATTACGCATGTCTAAGCTCAGGACAAGAAAACAACTTCCCTGCTCCTGCTTCAGCTTCCTAAACAGGAGGCGCTGCCATTTCTCCCTTATTCACCCTCTGCAACGATCCTAGGATCCTGCCAAGACACAGCTAAAAAACCTAATATTTCTTGACGTATGGCTCCAGCCCCTACGAGCTATTTTTAACCCAGCTGCTGTGAAAACAGCTTGGCATATAAAAGTCTCATGGGAGATTCAGCTCCCACCCTTTCAAAATATATAAAAAAAGCCTCCTCCCCCATATTTATGAAACCATATACAATGTTGAACTTCCTGCTGTGCTCACCTCCCCACCGTCACCCGGTTATGTCTCCCACACAGAGCTCAGACATAGACTCACATCTTTGGGGATGTTTTCAACTACTCTTCCCCCCCCTTTCTCCTCTGACATCCACAGTGCCAAAGCCTGCTGCTTACCACCCCCCCTCCCGGTGCCTGCCATTGCCTACCAATGCGCAGTGTTCAGGATGCGCAAATAATCACACAAGATTCCATGCCTATTCAGGGTTGATCTTTTCCCTGTTCCTCTGTCAGCCTTCTGCCTCAGTGTTCTGCCTCTTTCCCCTGCCAGATCAACAAGGACATGGCTAAAAACATTTCCCCTACCATTTCTTCACACATCTCATCCTTACAGATGGCTTGTTGTCCGCACCGGGGTATCACGTGGAACCAAAGTTGGTCCTGTTTTGATTAATTTAGCATCATCCACTGCAAAGAACTGCAATCTCACACATTTCTCCCTCTGAATTTGAATGTCCCTGATCTGGGAATAATCCGGTAAGTTGTGTGTGAAGTAGACACTTTGCATCAGTATTTCCACCCCCTCCCCTTATGGGTGGGCTCAATCCTTTGATTTACGCTAGCCATCTTTCAATATCTCAAGAGCTGTTACATGCAGGATGGAGCAACCTTGCTTTCTCTTGCTCTGGAGGCTAGGACACGATCCAATGGCTTCGAGTTACAAGAAAGATTCCAGCTAAATATCAGGAGAACTTTCTGACACTAAGAGCTGTTTGACAGTGAACAGTCTCCCTTGGGGCCCGTGAGTGCATCTTGCCTGAGAGTCCCTCCAGTTTCTCCCGCTATCTGTATCCTTTCCTAACTGTAGACCCTTCTCTAGGCCAAGGACAAAATTCTTTCTACCCATTGTATGCAAAACTGTAGCTCCAAACTCAAACTCCTCCCCACTGTCTGAAAAAGCCCCTTTGACAGAGATGGCAAGACTGACGTATATGGCTATGCAAAATTCCAAACCTCTGAATTCCCAAACCAGTTCCTCAAGGAAAATATGGCCAAGGGACCCTGGGGAAGAGGAAGACACACCTTGCCAACTCGCATCAAACTTTTAAGGACCACCAGGTGGGACCCCACAAATGGTTTGCAGAAAAGCAGCCTCGGTGGACTGCAATTTTTAGCAAGGCGGTGGTGGTGGTAGCCGAACGGTGAGCTCTTTCTGTTCAAAAACTGCCAGCCCAAAACGGCAGAGGCAAAGCCGTCGTGGGTGGGGGTGGGGGAGGATCTTGAGGAGGAAAACAGCCAACAAAGAGTTTCCTTAGGCACTCTGCTCAAAATTGCTGCCTAGTGAGCTTGTTTTTCATTAAAACAAACCACCGCCTAGGGTTTATGTTTATTTGCATGCAACATCTAATTTGTCCCTCACTTTCCCCACCCTGGGTTCATATTCAGTCCTATTTGCCTTCTCCCTTTTTGTTGCTTAAGATTGCTGAGAATAGCTTTCCTTTACTAAAATGGCAAGTTTCTCGACCTCATGATGGGAGGTACATGACTGAAAACATTTTTGGAAGGCGCTGCATAAAGGTTCCAGTGTATCGGGACAGTGGCTATCTATTCTTCCTTCCTTGGTCTCTACCTTGTGTGCCATGCCTCTTACTTACTTACATAGCCTCCCCTGCTATCATCTCCTATGGGCCCCCAAACTCCAAACCGCAAGCCTTTCTAGATTACTGCATTTGCAGCATAACAAATCCAGCAGGAGAGTGTCCAGATGTCTCTTCAAGGCACAGCTCTCTTCATGGGTGTGGTGCTGATGCGGGGGAATCTTACTTCCCTCAGAGTTTCATTTCAACATATTCCTGCCACGGAAACGCACTTATTTCCCGGTAACTATTTTGTCAGATGGAACAATGCACAAACATGGCAGGTGCCTCAGTGTGCAGGGCCCCTCATGCCCAGCCCATTTCGTGAGGCTAAGCCAGGGCTCAGCAAACTTCTTCAGCAGGGGGACAGTCCACTGTCCCTCAGACCTTGTGGAGGGCCGGACTATACTGGGGGGGGGGGGGAGAGAATGAACGAATTCCTATGCCCCACAATAACCCAGAGATGCATTTTAAATATAAGGACACATTCTACTCATGTAAAAACACGCTGATTCCCAGACCGTCCATGGGCCAGATTTAGAAGACGATTGGGCCGGATCCAGCCCCCAGGCCTTAGTTTGCCTACCCATGGGCTAAGCTTTTAAAAATTATAATTCCTATACAGTGGTACCTCAGGTTACAGATGCTACAGGTTACAGACTCCACTAACCCAGAAATACAGTGGTACCTCGGGTTAAGTACTTAATTTGTTCCAGAGGTCCGTTCTTATCCTGAAACTGTTCTTAACCTGAAGCACCACTTTAGCTAATGGGGCCTCCCACTGCCGCCGCACCGCCATTGCGCAATTTCTGTTCTCATTCTGAAGCAAAGTTCTTAATCCGAGGTACTATTTCTGGGTTAGCGGAGTCTAACCTGAAGCGTATATAACCTGAGGTACCACTGTAGTACCTCGGGTTAAGAACTTTGCTTCAGGATGAGAACAGAAATCGCATGGTGGCGGCGCAGTGGCAGCAGGAGGCCCCATTAGCTAAAGTGGTGCTTCAGGTTAAGAACAGTTTCAGGTTAAGAATGGACCTCCACAACAAATTAAGTTCTTAACCCGAGGTACCACTGTAGTTTCTACACCAGAAACCTGCAGCTAACGGGCCCAGCTTTCTAATGGATTCCGTTTGACAACCAACTCACTCTACAAAAGCAATCTTAGCATCTAAACAAACAATTAAACAAAAAACCATGGAGGGAGCAGGTGCAATTTTAGATGCGCCTGTGTTCATGGCACTGGCCAAATGGTTACTGTTTCTCACTTCACGTCCAGATCGTCCCTGTAGCTGCAAATGCCCAGGTTAAATTCCTTACCATTCTCTTGAAGGGCACTGACTCCTACAAGGAGGAGTCCTTTTGCTTGCAAATGGTAACAAACAAATTGCATAGAAAGTGGCTACTTTTGCACTGTGCCGGCCACAACAAAAAACGTGGCTGGATTTTGTTGACTCCTAAAGTAATTGACCGTGATCCAGAACCAGCTGGTGATTTCTGATTTCACGTGTCTAAAAGGCCTGCTGTGATCAATTGGGTGGTTCACTTTGCGGAAGAAATTGCTTACAGCTGCTCAGACTTGGACATTACTGTCAGTGTCAGTCCCAGCAGCAACTAGGACTGGGGCTGCTGCTGTCTGACGGGTGGCGTTCACCGTCAGTTTGGGGACTGAATCAGGCTTGGTCGCCAGGATGGAGGACCCATATCAAGAGTGGGATGGGGGAAGGTGGCTCCGATTCTGCTTGGCAATCTCATCATGGCTTTTGTTATCACAGACCATGATGTCCTCTTGGACCAGCTTGTAGGATAGGCATTTATTTACATTGGTTCCACTCCTACCTAAAGAGTCATGTCTAGAGAGCAGCACTGAGATACAGTGATACCTAGGGTTACAGCTGCTTCAGGTTACAGACTCTGCTTACCCAGAAATAGTACCTCGGGTTAAGAACTTTACCTCAGGAAAAAAAGAAGAAAAAAAGAAAAAGAACTTCACCTCAGGATGAGAACAGAAATCACGCGGCGGCAGCGGGAGGCCCCATTAGCTAAAGTGGTACCTCAGGTTAAGAACAGTTTCAGGTTAAGAACGGACCTCCAGAACGAATTAAGTTCTTAACCCGAGGTACCACTGTACAGTACAGTGGTACCTCCGGTTACAAACACTTCAGGTTACGAACTCTGCTAACCCAGAAGTAGCGGCTCCTGTACTGTGTTTCATCCTCATGGTCTTTGCCCTATGGTGTACCACAAGGTACAGTGTTGTCTTCATTGCTGTTTCAGGCTCCTGGCTGCAGTCATTAGGATTTAGGAGGCAAAGTGGAAGGGATCATTGGTTTGATCTTGTTTTTATTTTTAATCATGGATTTTGTGTGTGTGTGGGGGGGTTATATTGTGATTTTATGTTGTGAACCACCCTGAGATCTACGGATGAATGGCAGTATAAACAATTACTTACTTACTTACTTACTTACTTACTTATTTACTTAATAATATCATTTGGCAATCTAGAAGTAGCTGTACTCAACAGGCTCCCCCTCTCTAAAATTGCAGGGTGACAGTATAGGATGTAGACCCTGCATGGACAAGTATAATGAAATTTGGAACTCATTTATACAAAATACATTAGGTTAAAAATTGTAATGACAGTCATACCTTGGAAGTCGAACAGAATCCATTCCGGAAATCCATTCGACTTCCAAAACCTTCAGAAACCAAAGTGCAGCTTTGGATTATCTGCAGGAAGCTCCTGCAGCCAATCAGAAGCCACGTCGGACATTTGGGTTCCGAAGAACGTTTGCAAACCGGAACATTCACTTCTGGGTTTGCGGTGTTCAGGAGCCAAAACGTCCGAGTACCAAGGTGTTTGGGTTCCAAGGTACGACTGTAAATGCATTTTTGTAGACATTGGTGGGTTGGGGAACTTCATTGCAACCTTAGACGTAGTGTGCATTTTAAAGGGGAGCTGTGGTTTGGTTTTGCATATTGGCCAAGAAGTGTGGATTAGGGTAGTTTCTCATTAATATGCCAACAAAGTTGAATCCCAAGGCGTTTGGGATCCAAGGTACGACTGCATTAACTGGTAACACTTACTATAATGATGTACTCTAAAAAAAAAAAGTCAAAGAGAAAAGGTTAAACAGCCACATTTTATGTGCTGTATTTAAATTTTAAAAAATAAAAATAAAAAGGATTGCAGTATAGAAGCACAGCTGAATCTGGCCATGTTCCTAGATGCCCAGGCGGTAGCCAGGAGTGCTTTTCCCCATTTCTGTCTTATATCCAAGTTGCACTGTATTTCTTTTCTTTGAGAACCTGACCCGGTCATTTATATCCTGGCCACCTCCTGGCTAGATTACTGCATTAGGTTGTTTGCAGGGCTGCCCTTGAAGACAGCATGGAAACTTCCATTGGTTCGATGTGCATCTCCCAGGGTTCTGAACGGAACTAGTCAACCAGATTCAGATCATATGACACTGATCTTATACGCCAGCTAGGCTGGCTGCCAATTTGCTCCCGGATTCAAGGTGCTGGTTTTGACCTTTAAAGCCCTCCAAGCAGGCTTCAAGAAAACCACTGCCAGGGTAATTATGGTGATAGGCCTTCCCTGCTCTGAAAAGACAGGGAGGAAGCTGAGCCAGTAGCTCTGCAAGGCAAGGCATGCTCAGTTCCTCTTATCTGTGCTGAATCGATGGGAGCTAGATGGAAAAGGGAGAGGGAATAAGGTGGAGCCAGATTCGTCTTTTTGGGTCTGAAACGCTCGCAGCAACTAAGGAAAGTCAGCGCAGAAAGTGCTCTTTCTAACTGTGAGAGATGTAACACATCAATAAAGCCCAAAGAAATACAAATACAAGGAAAAGGAATAAGCAGAAGCTGGGTGCTCTTCTCCTTTTCTTTGGTGGAAACCGCTTTCCCTTTGGCCCACCATTTTTAATTTCCAACCACCCTTCCTGTAATGTCCAGCGCATGGAAGAAATGCAATGCAACGCTGACGAGGAGGGAGTGAAAGCGGGTACAACCTAGACGAGCAAAGGTGGGGCATTCACAGCACCCATGCCTGCCCCACCACCCGCTCCCTTGTGCACTAACCTAGTGAGTGATCAGCACACGACCTTCAACCTCTCCAGCCTCACTCAGTTGCCCACACCATGGCTGAACAGAGGTTTGAACACAGCTCTCTCAGACTCCGCTCCAAGCCAAATGCTCTATTTACACTTGCTTTTAAGGGATCTAAATAACAAGAGCCTTCATTTTTTCATTTTCTGTTTCTCCCTACCCCATGTTTTTTGTTAAATTTGCAAACACACACACACGGATCTAAATTTCCCAATACTGGTTTTAATACTCTTTCAGATCCTGCTATCAGACCTAAAATCAGGGATGGGGAACTCGTAGTCTAACAACATTTGGAGGGCCACAACTTCCATTAGCCTTGAGGACCATCAGTCACATTGGCTAGGGCTGAAGAGAGCTGGACATCTAACGTCTAACATCTAAAGGTTCCCCATCCTTGGCTTAAATTAAGCCAGTGCTCACTAGAGCTTATCAACAAAATCTGTCTTGAATGCAGAAGGTCTCAAGTGCAACGCTTGGCATCTTCAGGTTGAAGACAAGACCTCAGGGTACCAGATTGACCAATGTGTTTGACTCTGCAAACAGGAGTTTCATATGTTTATGATAGGGGAGAGTACTACCTCTGAGCATGAACAGAGCTTATTTCTGCCGTCACTAAACAGCCAAACCAGTCTGGGAATTATTCTGGCTGCAAGCTTTTAGAGTCTAGGAAGTGATCCTGCTACAATCCCTAGCTCCAGCACCTCTCCTTTCAGAGAAATCCAAGGCCAATTCCTTGTGAACTTTAAAGCCTTTTATTTATAAATTTACTTCCAACCTTGAAGAGGGGCAGGGGAAGCATAGATCAGACGGAACGGCTCTCACTGTGTCTGTTAGATTCTTTGCGTTGCTTAAGGGGCTGCGGTGAAGACCGCAGAAAGATATTCCTTACGCATCGTAAAGATGCAGGACGATCCTTGATGTAGGTCCCTTTTCTTTCCAAAGACACTTTGACATCAAATCAGATCAAGGAGGAACAGAAGGGTTTGCCTGTTCCTCTGTCACTTAAAACACACACATACACACAAAATGCCACACCTTAAAATAAGGCAGCCTAGAAATTGCCTTTAAAAATACAACACAAAACCAACCATGTTTGCTCAAAAACACACTATAAGATCAGGCAAGCTGAGAGCTCCAGAGATGGAACAAGCCAGAGAAATCTCTTCTAGTTCTCCACATGTGCTCAGAAGCTTTGAGGTGGTTAATCGTGGCTTTCTTTCCACTCCCATTTGCCTTCTGGCCCATTATTTCCCCCCCTCTTTCCTATTTTCTCCCCGCCACCCTCCGACTGCCAAAGCTCCCTTAGAAGGCACTGCAACCTGAATCCACAGCAGGCCGTCTGCTCAAGGCTGGGCTTGGTGAGCAAAAGGTCTTAAAAAGGAAGAGAAAAAATGATTGAGACAAGGAGGGGAAGCTGGAAGGGCATCTGTAGTTTGTTGTTGTTCCTGATTATTATTGAGCTAGTGCAGCAAATTGAAGAGGCGCTGGCAAGGCTGCTTTCAATGATCCCAAATTAACAGGAATAGTCCTGTATATAAATATATGTTCCTAGGAAGAGAAGAGACATGGTCCATACATTTCATCCCTGTTTTGTTTTGCCTTTGGTATAGACACAGGGGACGCTTCCAGTTTCAGCCCCCTTTCCTTGGCGTCTACAGGTAAACTAAGGCCTGGGGGCCGAATCCAGCCCAATCGTCTTCTAAATCCGGCCCATGGACGGTCAGGGAATCAGCGTGTTTTACATGAGTAGAATGTGTCCTTTTATTTAAAATGCATCTCTGGGTTATTTGTGGGGCATAGGAATTCGTTCATTCTCCCCCCCCCCCAAAAAAAAATATAGTCCGGCCCCCCACAAGGTCTGAGGGACAGTGGGCCGGCCCCCTGCTGAAAAAGTTTGCTGACCCCTGGTCTAGACGTTAGATCTCTGAAAGGGAGCAGAGCAGATGCATGTTCGATATTTACACATGAAAGTAAACGTACTCACACAGGTGTAAGGAGCCAGCCAGCTGCTTCCATTTCACCTCCCTCCTTTCACTCCCAAGACCAGATAAGAAATGAGCACAGGGATCATGGGAGTTGTAGGCCAAAAACATCTGGAGGGCTGAGTTTGAGGAAGTCTGGTCAATAGGGTAACTAATGTTTGTGGTCACATCCTGCTCCAGGAGTCAGCACAGAAGAGTGTGTTGTTGTCTACACGGACAGGCAAAGAATGGCCTTCTGGAATGCACAGTCTTTGATGGGAGGAAGATCTGAGGCAGCGACTGGTCGCGTAAGAACCAGGGTATCAGAAGTGCACGAGGAGGGTGTCCCCGTCTTCATGGTGGAGGGTGGGAGCAGCTCTTCCATGAGTTCTGAGTAAAAGAGCTGTGGGAATCCAGATTGTGGGCTCCATACAGGGACCAGAATATGATCAGGCCCACAGTGAGGTGTGGACTGAACTATAGAAACTGAATTGTGAAACCCTCTTGCACAGTCCCTAACTGGCGTGTTGTGTTTGCGGACAGGCCTATGCACCGCAAAGGAGCCTGTGCAGAAGACCATCTTGGTGGTACTATACCCTCCCGTCTCCCATGTTAACTAACAGAGACAGGAAGCGTTATTTGCGTTCTTCCACCACAGGTGCCAAAAAAGTCAGGAGTCAAGCTTGGCCTGAGGAGAGGAGGAGAAGTATTCTCTTGCCATCACCACTGAGCAACTGCAGCATCCTCCATCCTCCCACCACCACATGCGGGGCTGGGTGTGCTTGTGCCTGCCTGTGTGAATCCACAGTGTGAGGGAAGGGGTCAGGATTATAAGCTGGGACACATTTTGCCTCAGGCATGAAACTGCCTCCTCCACACACATCTACGGTAATTGAATGATGCACCAGGGCTGGAGGACAGCTCTGTTCTCTTTTAGACCCCAATACTGGTGAACTTAAGAAGAGCCCTGGTGGGTCAAGCCAAAGACCCATCGAGTCCAGTATCCTGTTCTTGCAAGGCCCAGAAGCTGGTATTTAGAGGTGTGGCAGAAACGATTTGCGGAATCCTATTTCAGGTGCACAGAGCATGGGTTTTTGTTTTCCCCTCTGCCTTTTAAACTTGGGCATTAAAAAAAAGCTTTAAAAGAAACGTGTGAATTGGCTCCAGGTAAAAGCCTCATTATTCCCGCCCCCCCAATCCTGTACTTTCTGTCCCTGATTAGTATCAAAACCGCTCTCCAGCTCTTTGACTAGGTAGAAAGACCTTTGGAAAGGCTCCCGGTGGAAGCTGATTGGCCACTACAGGTTAGCTCACGCCCCCACCGAAGCACAACTCTTCTGCTGCACAGCATTTATTTCTACATTCATTGCATTCATTTCCCACCTTTGATCCACGGAAAAGAGGGTCAGCCAGTCTGGCCACACCCAGCCCCCTAAGTTCCCCTGAAGGCACACAGGGCCAGCCCTACTGATGGGCAGAGTGAGATGGCTGCCTCAGAGGTGCAGCTGCTGGAAGGCAGGGAGCAGAAGAGAGGCGCTGGAGGACAGAGCTACTGTGTGTCGGTGTGTGCTATGGGGCTTGCACACGGTGCCCCCCTAAGCTAGTGTGGTGAAGGACGCCTGTCCTGTCACTATTACTGAGGTAAGATTCCACTGCCTTCTGTATGTGTCGTCTCACTTGAACCCAAGTCTCTCTCCCTCCCCATTCTCTGGACGATTTATACAGTCCATGGACTCAAGTGGTAAAGCTCTCCCTGGACTGTTCCACTGCTGGTTGCCGCTGGATGGGCTGGATCTTTGAGTAGCCCACCACCCAAGACACCCGCCTACCCACCCAAATATTCTTGTCCAGAGAAAACCAGCCTGTTGGGGAGAAGGCTAGGATGATCCTTTCTCCCCCATATACATTTTGGGTGTGTGTGTGTTCTGGGAGTCCCCCACCACCACCACACACACACAAACATAGGGGAACCTTCAAAATACACAATACCCCACTTCATCACCAACCTGGAGTGGTACAGTCCAGAGAACAAGACTCAGCACTTGGAAGAGGTATAAAAAGATCAAGAGATGGTATGACATCCATGTAGTGTAGTGGTTAGAGAGAGGTAGACTAGGACCTGAGAGTCCACAGTTCAATCCCCACTCAGCCATGGAGACTTTAAACCAGTTGCTCACTCTCTCAGTCTAACCAACCTCCTATGGTTGTTGTGAGGACAAAATGGGAGGGGTGGTGGTGAAGTATGCATGCCACCTTTAAATCCTGGGGGGGGGGGAGGAGGCAGGATACAAAGGTAAATAAATAAATAAAAAGCGCCATTTCCCCACCCCCACCCCAAAAATGGCCCACCAGTGATCTACCTCGCAGATTCTGCGCACGGAGCAGCAGCAGCGAGACGAGATCAAGGTTTACAAATTAATTACAAGTTTAATGAGAAATGATTAATAACAAAGAGGAACAACAGCCACTTGGTACACAGACTTGCGAGCCATCTGGGAGTACCTCACCCACGCAAGGAACCTGCGGAACACTGCGTTTCGACCTCCTCCCCCATGTCTCCCCACACTTAACTTCCGAGAAAGTGAACTGCAGGGCAAAGCGGCACCATGTCCTGTTGGGCTTGCATAAGACAAATGCGCACACACACACACACACACACACACACACACTGTGCTGGGACTTGTCAGGGGTGGATAAAAAAAAACCCTCTGCAGCAGCAGCACCACAGCTTGTCCTCCCTCGATTTCAAATCTACTTGGGATATTAGATGAATTAGCAGCCAACGTCACAGCACTGACATCAGCAGAGATGCTGTCATCAGAGCAGGCGGGAGATCTAGCCTGTGTATTCACACAACACAGATTTTCCCTCCTCCTCGGCCCATGAAGACGTTAATATCAAATTGGAGCGGGGGTGGAATGCACATGATGAGAGTTAAAATAAGAAGCCTGCCCCCCCCCCAATTTCTTATGCCTTAGCCTAGATTGTGTCATGCAACACATGAGGTTCTGGTCTGCATTTGCAAGTACAGTGGTACCTCGGGTTAAGAACTTAATTTGTTCTGGAGGTCCGTTCCTAACCTGAAACTGTTCTTAACCTGAGATACCACTTTAGCTAATGGGGCCTCCCGCTGTCCCCGCGCGATTTCTGTTCTTATCCTGAGGTAAAGTTCTTAACCAGAGGTACTATTTCTGGGTTAGCGGAGTCTGTAACCTGAAGTGTCTGTAACCCGAGGTACCACCGTATCCATAAGTGCCTGCCCCTACCATAACCAGCCAAGATCCTGCTGTCTGGGGTGAAATAGGTCACCAGCTAAGAACTCTTGATTCTGTCCCCATTCTGATTCTTAGGGTGCATGTACAGCTTCAGCATTCTCCAGGGGTGTATGGAAGTCCCTAAATCTATGATCAGTAATTGCAGGAATGGAGAAAGCAGCAGTCCTCTGAACATGCACAGAGTGCTTTTTTTGTTTTGTTCAAACCACAATGGAGAGGAGGGAGGGAGGTGGGCTCTAGGAAATGAGTGACAAGACGATGTAGGTGAGCCAGTGCCAGACACTTGCCCTTTCAATGAGTAGCTCCTTGAGTGCCTGTTATCTTTTTGGAGCCAAAGGCTTCCAGCTTTAGAAAAACATAGAAACCACAACACTTTCCATGGAGGAAAGTCATTATAGCTAACTGAGCCTCCATAAACAGGAGCAGCATTCCTTGGAATTCCAGATGTTGGGAGAGAAGCACCAAGAGAAGGCCCTTTAGTGCGCTATCCTGGAGCTACTTTGAAGCATCCAACAGGCTGGATTCTAGACCAGGATCCTGCGCAGAATTCTGGACTAGATGCACTTTGCTCTGGTTCAGCCAGGCAATTAAAATACTGTATATAAATCTACATTTAGCAAAGCAATTCCCCCCCTTCCTTCTCCACCCCTCCTCTCCAAAATTGGGTCCCAAGACACTCTCCCCCCTCTAGGCTTTCAGCTGCGAAAGAACACAACCATTATAACAGCAAAGCCTGCAATTAAAGCATGTGCTAATAAGTCACACTACTGCAGTGGAACACACACACAGACCCACCAGGCTAAATTGCTGGTTTCCAAATCCCACCCCTCTCCCGCCATCATTAAGATGTTATTATGATTCCCACGCTAGTAACCTTTTGGAACGCGCTCCCCCTCCAATACACACACTGACACACGTGTGTGTGTGTGTGTGTGTATGAAACATCCCTCCCTCTCCACCCCCCCTTTGAAAACATACCAGCTTAAGTTAGGTATTGGCCAATATCCTAGATTTTCACAGAGGTATAGATAGATATACACTGCATTTTTTTTTAGCCTTTTACCTTTTCAGTGACTGAGGTCGATGGAGAAGAGCGGGGCATGAAGTCTATTTACAACACTCATTATATGGGGGGGCGCAGAGCTCAGCTAATATGACAGGTTCGGGTTGTATGGCATTTAGAAGTGCCATGTACTGTATCTATAGATATGAAATCGCACGGCTTCCTATCCTGCCGTTTGATCTAGGAATTGATTCGGCATATAAGACACAGACAAGAGGTAACTTAAGATTTTTTCCCCCCTGAATAGAATCGTTCCTTACTGGGAAGCCAAGAACATACGTATCTACACACACACACACACACACACACACACACACGCCGCTCGACATGCAGAGAGGGAAATCGGTCACAAGACTGGGAGGAATCCGGTGGTTTGACTCCCCACCTCCGGGCCCCCACTGATCCCACAGCACCGTAACCCTACAGTGCCCTATGCAAAGAGCGAGTGCACCGCATAGGAGGAATATGAGAGAGAGAGAGAGAGAGAGAGAGAGAGAGAGAGAGAGAGATGTCCACGGGGGGAAACCAACTCAGCCCCACACTGCGGTTGTGGAGCAAACGTAAAGGCGCGCTTTGGCGGGTGAGGAGGGGGCGGCCACGGACTCCTCGTTTACTGCAGGGAAAGGGAGGCACGAGCGGTTAAGGGAGATGGAGAGGAGACGCAAAGAGACACACATACACACGCTCGAGTCTAGGGGAGAAATTGTTTGCAAACCGAAGCGATGGGCAGGTGGGTGGTGTGGAGATGCTCACATCTTCCGAGAGGGCAGAGAGACAGACACACACAACACAGCAGACAACACAAAACCAAACAGCGTCCCCAACCCGCTCGATCCCGGGCGGGAGGCAGCTCTAACCTAGGAGGATCAGGTTTGCGCTTTTTAAAGAGAAGAGAAAGTCTGCGCCACGGATCGCACGGAGGGGGAGCCTGGTGTACCTTCGTCTCGTGGAGGCTGAGAGCGGTGCCCGGAGTCTGCTGCGGATCGCTGTTGTGCTGCTGCGGGTCATTTTCCTTCTCCGTGATCTCGGTCATGGTACAGAGGCGGCTGCTCCGGCCGTTGGGCGACCGGACCTGGGTCCGGGGTCCGGAGGAGGAGGAGGAATGGACGAGGAGTAGACGCAACTTCGGGTTGTCTCCTCCTGCTCTCCACGAAGCGACCTTTTTCTTTCCTGTGCCTGCGTGGGAAGTCTTAATTCTTGGTTCTCTGAATTGTTTTTTTTTTTAACCCCGGTTAGAATTATTTGGGGTTCTCTCCACCCACCCCGCTTCCTTGTATAAGGACGAAAGAAATGACCCAGTTATTAAAGAGGGGGGGAACCTCCCGCTAAACTCTTCTGAATAGGGAGCGGAGGGTCTGTTTTGCTATTGGAGACCTCCCCTTTTATGCAGATTGAAACAAGCGAATTCGCATCTTCTTCTGCCACCCACCTCCCGGGCTCTGCAACAGAAACGGGGCGAAGGCTACCAAATGCTGGTCTCGCTCCTGCTGCCGCTTCCTCCAAGTTTGATTTCAGGAGCGCCTTGGCTCCTCCCCCTTCTTGTATTATTGTGATCGCGCAACGCCCGCCCACCCACCCCTCCTTTTTACGAGTGGTTCATTAACCTCGCCTTTTTCTTTTGATATGCTAATGCAGCACGTAGGAGAACGCTTTCCCATTGGCCCCTCCGGCGGGAGGGCAGGCGAGAGAGGCCGGGCGCCTCCACCAATGGGTGGGTCCTCGCTGAAAAGTTACGCGCGTATTTGCGAGAGAAGGGATGAAGCTGCCTTGAGTGTTTGCAGGTCAACACCAATCAGATTTCCTCAATTTCACGCACTATGTTTCAGCGCTGGTGCCTGGAAGCAAAACAAAGGATGGGAGCGCCTTCTTCCTCAGCTGTCCAGACCTGGACTTTGCCAAGTGGAATATCAGAAGGGTCCTGCTGGATCACGCCACGAGTCCGAGTAATCCTGTTCCCCTTGGTAGCCAACGGAAGCCTTTGTTTATCTCCAGCATTTGCCTGGTATACTACCTCTTATTGACCTTCCTTTGCTATCATACCTGCTGCACTCTGCTGCCAAAATTATTCACCTCTCCTGCCTCTGACTCTGATGCTTCACCCTTTCACGGGTTTCCTGACCACTCCGAGATCAAGCATGAGCTCCTTGTCCCTCTCTCCAGGGGCCTCTCTCAGATGCATTCTTGCTTGTGACCTAGCTGCCTCCAACTCTCTGTTCGAAGGCCTCTTGCTCCCTCAAAAGTGCTCACCCTCTCTTCCCTTGCTACCCTGTGCGCTTGGAAGTGCCTCCCAGGAAACCTGTTTGATGCCACCTCTTTTGCTTCCTTCAAATCCCTCCTCAAAAGCCACCTTTCCCAGGAAGCCTTTGGCACAACCTCCCCAATTTCCCTATGTGGGTGGCGCTGTGGGTTAAACCAGAGCCTAGGACTTGCCGATCAGAAGGTCGGCGGTTCGAATCCCCGCGACTGGGTGAGCTCCCGTTGTTCGGTCCCTGCTCCTGTCAACCTAGCAGTTTGAAAGCATGTCAAAGTGCAAGTAGATAAATAGGTACCACTCCAGCAGGAAGGTAAACGGCGTTTCCGTGTGCTGCTCTGGTTCGCCGGAAGCGGCTTAGTCATGCTGGCCACATGACCCGGAAGCTGTATGCCCGCTCCCTTGGCCAATAAAGCGAGATGAGCGCCTCAACCCCACAGTCTGCCACGACTCGACCTAATGGTCAGGGGTCCCTTTACCTGTACTCACCCCAATTTCCCTACCATGTGCTGTAACTCAGCCTGCAAGGATACTTTTGGAAGACCTGTGTGTTGAGCATTCATTCCGATTTGTTTGCAGGGAAGCCTAGATGATGTGATCTCAAACAAGTGTCTTCTTGCACTTTCCAGTGCATTGCCCAGTTACTCTCCTTTCTGCAAAAGGTCTGAACTTTTGGGAAAGTGGGTTTGTTGCACAAGACCTCCCAGTCAGCTACAACTTCACAACCTGCACATTTCAGGAATACTTTCTGTAGATTTCAAAATGCTGCTTTCTCCTTTAGACTTGATCTAAGCCTAAGCATGTGCAACTAAAACAAATGCACACTGCATCTCTGTTGTCCCCTGCTTGTAAGCTCCTTCAGGCAGGGACCTGTCCTCTTGTACTCTACAAAGCACCATGGTCCATACAAGCAAAGAAAGAAGGAAATGATCTGCACCCCACTTTTTCCTTTCATACAGCAATGCCCAAGGCAGCATACAATCAAATGTAGTAACAAGCACAAGTTACATAGCGCAGGTATTATAACCACTATACCTTTACACACAATCCAGGGGGGAAAAATTCTTTCCCTCAAAGAATTTTGGGCCCTGTAGTTTACCCCTCACAGAGTTATAATTCCCAGAAACCATTGAATCACAGAATTGTAGTGTTGTAAGGGACCCCTGAGGATCATCTAGTCCAACCCCCTTCAATGCCAGAATCTCAACTAGATTATTCATGACGGATGACCACCCAGCCTCTGATAGTGGAACAGACTCCGACGAGAGGTGGTGTTTAAGCAAACAGCTCTTACTGACAAAGTTCTTCCTAATGTTTAGTTGGAATCTCCTTCCTTATAACTTGGACCACGTCCTTATACCCTTACAGTGCCCAGAATTCTTTGAGGGGTGGCGGGATTGTGCTTCATATGTGCTTTAAAGGTACAGTATATTGTGTACATAGCCGAAGACAGCAGCAAATGTCACAGTCTGGAAGATCATATCCAAGAAGAAGCTCTGCTAAAACCATAGGCTCCTTTGATGGTGAGGAAAGACTGTCTGGGAGGAGATCAAGCAGGTATTCAGGGGAAAGGCAGTAGATTATCCACCAATGGCTTCTAGGCAGTCTCCCATCCAGGTCCTGTCCAGGCCGATACCTGCTTAGCTTTAGCAATGCAACAACACACTTCCAGGCCATTCTCTAGGTCCTGTAGCAGACAAATGCAGTAGCTGGGAAAGCCAGCAACAGGAAAGTTTTGGAGCCTACTCAAGACAAGTGTTCCAGAGCAAGGGAGAGGATGCAGAAGAGAGCCCTAAGTCTTTGAGATGCTGCAAGGAGAATAACAGGGATGCTGTGACATTGCTTAACCTCTGCCCTTGGGTCTCTCTCTCATTACTGTTGGCTGTGAGGCATGTGCCCCCCCCCCAGCCTACTCAATGACTAGTGAGAATAAATGCTCCCTTGGGAAAGATGCAGGGATGAAGGTCAGAGAGAGGGGGGAGTGAGGGGGGCTGATGTCTGGAATAACATATGTCTGGCAGAGTTAATGCACAAGGACGGTGGTAGCTGTATGAGTAAAATGTGGTGGGTAGCACATAAAAAGGTGGGGTGAAGTCATCAGGCGGATGGGATGAACAGCCAAAAGGTTTTTTCCCCTCTTTTTTTAATTGTGGGGGAAGAAAGCCATAAATTATCTTCACTCTGTTGAGGTTACTTCTTTTTTCTTCTTTTTTAAGGAAGATGAGTGTGTGGGAAGGAAATGAGCTATTGTCTTCACCAGTGTCCTTGCAATGAGCACCACCACCACCAAAGCACCCTGACCCCCCCCCTTCCATCTTTCCCACCCCCACCTTGCACTCTCTCTCCTGCTCTCTCTCTCTCCTGGGTAAATTACAGCAGCTGTTCAAAGAGAAAATTATCCCCAGCCCTATCTACAAGGAGAAGAGAAATCCCAAGTGCTGAGATCATTGTTTGCTAAAAGGAGCCAATTTCTTGATCGGATAAGAGGGGGTTGTTTTGAAAAACTAGGATGCGGAAGGAAAGATTAAAAAAACAACAACACGCCAATCTGGAAAAGCGGATCAGAAGAAGGCAGCGATAGCAAAAGCAAAAGCAAACCTTTGCTTTTGTCACATCAAGCAACTTGTGGCGTGATGGAAGGCTAGATTTGCTTTCAAGTTGAATTGTTGGGGAGGGGTGCTCAACTTGTTCAATGCCTGTTCAAGCACACAATGAAAGGTTCCCCGTTTCTTCTTTCAGAGTGACAAGGTGGGTGTGAGTCACAGACTTAGCTCTTTATACAATGGGTGCTCTAAGGAACCATTAGTTTGCTCTTTGCGGAAGACCTTGTTTGAATGCAAGTACCACCAGAGTTACTTGCAAGAGGGGGGAGGAATCGAACATAGGAACCCTAAGATCACATCACCTGGTAACAAAAGGAAAATATCCAGAGCTGTGTGAAGCAACCAGATTTTGCTGAAATGGGCTGCGTTTGTAGGCTGTTATGCATTAATATGGGAATACACTGAGGGCCTTCTGGCGGTTCCCTCACTGTGAGAAGTGAAGTTACAGGGACCCAGGCAGAGGGCCTTCTCAGTAGTGGTGCCCGGCTCTGTGGAACACCCTCTCATCAGATGTCAAGGAGATAAATAACCACAACTTTTAGAAGACACCTTGTCCTGAATCCATGGCCCTACCTGGCAGCAGATCAGTATGTCAAGTCCAAAGTCCAATCTGTGGGTCAAGCCACACAAGCAAAATCCAAAGGTCAGGAAACACAGTCCAGGGGCAATCCAAGTAGCCAAGTCTGAAGTCCAGCAGTCAGAATACAGTCCAGAATCAAAGCCAAAGCACAGTCCCATAGAGATCCAGGAACATCCAAGCCAAGGTCCCTCAACATGGGCAACTGATCAGACCCAGCTCCTTAGCTCTGCTTCCCTTTTGTACTTTACATGCTGATTGCAGCACCTGGGCTTGACGAGGCAGGTGACCCTCACCTGTTCTAAGCCTGCTCCAGCTGAGGAATCACATCCCTCCTCCAGAGCTAGCGAGCCCCACCTGGCCAGCTGTGGGCCTTTGTCTGCCTCAGCCTTCTAGAGGGCCACTCCTGCTGCTCCTTACACCTCACAACCCATGTTCATAGGGACGGGGTCCCCTCTGGCTCTGGTGATGGGTGTTGCTGTTCTGGTTCCTGTGCATTGATCTCCTTCCCTTCGCCATCCTCCATCACCCTGTGAGTACTTCTTTCCCCCTCCCCTGCATGGCCAGGTGTGTCCCAGTCCCATCTACACCCCTCGCCGTGATCCTCTTCCTTCTCCCCATTGTCCTGCCAGTTCATGACACATCTGAAGGCAGCCTTGTACAGGGAAGTTTTTAATGTTTATGTTTTTATAACTCTTGGAAGCTGCCCACACTGGGAAACCCAGTCAGATAAGCAGGGTACTAGTACTAATACGTACAGCCCTATACCCGGGGGTGTCAGGGCGGTTCACAGAATAATAATAGAATAATAATAAAATAAAAAATAAAAAACAATTAATCTTTTTGTACAAAGAGATCGCCTCTGTGTATTTGCTCCCTCACATGGCATAGGACCCTTGGGGGCTGGAAGGTGCCTGCCAAATGCTGAACTTGGCTTTTGTGGGCCAGGCCCCACTTTGTCAAAGGCATTAAATCCAGGTTTCCTAAACTTGAGTCTCCAGCTGGTTGTTGGACTACAACTCCCATCACCCCTCGCTAACAGGACCAGTGGTCAGGGATGATAGGAACTGTAGTCCAAAAACAGCTAG